GTAGGGGAGCGGAGAGAAATGGGAGGAGGGGAGGAAGTGGAAATTTTGAATGGTATTATTTATAAAGCAATAAAAATTTATAAAAAAGAGCAGTGCTTGCTTTACTTGCGTTTGGTTAAGCTTCTAGTTAGTGATGTTGCCTTCCATTTTTTTGCGGATTTTCCAGTTACTCTTTCAGTTGTTAAGAGAGGAATGTACAGAGCTCCAGATAAGATGTGGTTTTTTTTCCCCTTTTAGCTGTGTCAGATTTTACAACACATTTTGCCCAGTGTTGTTTAGTTTATGTGCATTTCTGTGTTATTTTTGGTGGATTTTCACTGTGCAATATCCTGAGGTGTAGATGTATATAAATTTTTATTTGCTGTTTTATCAGATTTATTTGTAATATAGCCTTTTCTGTAACCAAAACTTTTAGGAGAAAAGCTTGGGCTCTCTTAGTGTTAGCTGGCTAGGCGCAATCACCTTTTACAATACACCAATCAGTTGACAAATAATGATGAAGAAGCAGATATACTTATGTGGCCACTTTGGGAGAGAGAACAGATACAAGGGTCCACTGACCCCCTAAGTATTTTTCACTACACTGATAAGAGCTTTAGGTTCAAATAGAAAAGTTAGAACAGTAAGCACGAGGTTAAGCAGTTCTAGTCACATTGTCTCAGGTCCTGCCAGGTGGTCAAATTAAATTTTTCTGTTCCTTATCGTATCCGGGTACGTTTGTCCAGAAAACGTAATGAGGATGAGGACTCACCAAACAAACTCTACACATTGGTAACTTACGTGCCTGTTACCACATTCAAAAATCTACAGACAGTCAATGTGGATGAGAACTAACCTACTGAATCTCAAATAAAGTTGGAGAACAGCCAAAAAAAAAACAAAAAAAAAATTTTCTGGGCAGAATCAGTGTGGCTCCTACAAGATAGTTTATTCTGGCTGTAGCCTCTTCATCACAGGTAATTGTTCTCATTTATGGGTAGTCTACCCTCTGTAGATAGTTCCAGTTCTTTATCATGAAGAAATTTATCTCGTTTTTGCTGGAATCCAAGATGACTCAAGAGGACAGATTAAAGACTGTGACCTAGCTCTGTGTCCATGGCAAAAGTGAAGGAGACAGGGACAAATGAAAGCAGAGATGCCAGACTTTCTAACTGATAGGTTTTTGGTTTTTTTTTTGGGGGGGGGGTATGCAGAAAGTAGGTTTCTCTGCCAATACAGTAAATCCGAATTTAAACAAAAAAAAAACAAAAACAAAAACAGGTTTATTGGGCCAAGTGCTCTTGGGTGATTAAAGACCCTGTACATGTGGTCTTGAGCTTTGAGGGAAGAGCCTGGACTTTTGGTGTTCTTTCTCCCTGAGAGGGGCAGGATTTGGAATGGGGAGGAGTGAGGCTGAGGTGGAGTTTCTAGCTGGACATTTTCTACTTTTAGTTAAAGCAAGAGCCCATCATCAGCCATTGTAATAATAACTCAGTCTTGATTAGGGTTTCTGGTGCTTTGATAAAAACACCATCTGTGACCAGAATGACTTGGGGAGAAAAGTATTTCAACTTAGACTTCTACGTCCACATCACAGTCCATTACTGCTAGAAGTCGAGTCAGGAACTCAGGCATAAGCCAGTAAGTTCTACTTACTGGCTTGCTCAGCCTGCTTTCTTATAGCATCCAGGGCCACCTGCCCATCATTGCCTGCAGTAGGCTGGACCCTCCCATATCAATCACTAATTAAGGAAATGTTCTGTAGGCTTGCCCACATGCCCACCTAGTGGATGCATTTTTTTTTCAGTTGAGGTTCCCTCTTCCCAGGACTCTGGTTTGTGTCAATTTGACATGAAGTCATCAGGCATAGCCTCTGAGTCTATTGCAGTCTTACTTTCCTTTAATTAATGTGTGCATGATGTTTCTTTCTTTTTGAGCAGGGACTCGTGTAACTAGGATGACTTTGACCTTCCAGCCTCTTGAGTGCTGGAATTATAGGAATGCATCAAGGCCACCAGTACTCTAGACTAGCACTCTGCTGGCTGAGCCACACACCCAGCCCCATGTGACAAAGTGTGGATCCCTTTTGCGAGGACTCCTGCCTAAAAGACTCAAGAGGCTAGAGATGTCTCAGTGGTTAAGAGCATGTATTGCTCTTGCATAGGAACTGAGCTTGGATTCAGGTTGCCCATATCAGGTGACTCACAACTGTGAGTCTTCAACTGCAGGGCATCCAGCACCCTCTTTTGGCATCAGCAGGCAACTGCACTCACATGTGCACATATTCCCCTCCAATTTAAAGTAAATCTTTAGAAAACATGCATTTAGAGGGATAGTTTATTAGAGTCAAACGGGAAGAGGAGGGAGGCAAGCTGGAGATCTTAGCACTGTCAGGAGGAAGGGGACATGAAGACAGAGGAAGACGTAGAGCAAGAGGAAAAAGGACACCTTGGGGGACAGGGGGACACACCAGAGAACTGGGACATTCAGAGCCTGGCACCAAACTGTCCTTCTCTCTGGGCCAGGAGGGCTTTGGGTACAAATTTATTTATTTATATATTTATGACACAGTCTCACACTGTAGCTCAAACTGGCCTAGAACTCACTATGTAGTCCAAGGTAGCCTGGTATTTGTGATCATCCTGAGTACTGCAGTTACAGACAAGAAGCTCTGCATTTGGATGGAAATATTAGTATTATTTGGGTTAGTTTTTTGCTCAGTCAAGAGTTGCTCTAGGTGGCCTAGGACTCAGAATTTGTCTTAGACTAGAAAGAATAATAACTAACTGCATTTAGTGTTGTTAGTTTGCTATCTAGTGTTGTTAGCTTTGGACCAGGAAGGAATAAATAACAACTTTGAATAATGTCAGTTTACCTTTAAAAATAATTTTAAAATTTGTTTGAGTTCTTACGTGTTTGTGTACACATAAATCGGTGGGCAACCTCAAGTGTTATTCCTTAGGAGCCCACTTTGTTATATAGACAAGCTCTCATTGGCCTGGAGCTTACTAAGTAAACTGCACTGGGTGACTAGCTTGTCTACGTGTCTTTACCTCTTAGCTTTTACATCAGTGTTGGGTATCTGAACTCAGGTCCGTATGCTTGTGTGGTCGTATTAGGATTTTTATTGATGTGAAGAGACACCATGACCATTGCAACCCTTATAAGGAAAACATTTTATTTGTGTGGCTTGCGTACAGTTTCAGAGGTTAAGTCCATTATCATCATGGTGGGGGCATGGCAACATGTAGGCAGACGTGGTACTGGAGAGGTAGCTGAGAGTCCTACATCTTGCAGGCAACAGGAAGTTGATTGAGACACTGGGCAGTAGCCTGAGCATATGAAACCTCAAAACCCGCCCCCACAGTCATATGCTTTCTCCAACAAGTCCATACCCACTCCAACAAAGCCACACTTCCAAATATGCCACTCCCTATGGGTTTATGGGGGCCAGTACATTCAAATTACCACAGTGATAAATACTTTCCTGAGTCATCTTTCTCTCTAAATCCCAAGGCTAGTTTTGGACTAATTTGAAGCTTCTACCATTGGCTCATTTAAAAAATTTCTTTATGTTTGTTTTTCACAGAGCATGCGTATGTGCACGCTGGCAAGTACATAGAGACAGAGGACAGCTTGCCTGAGTCGGTGTTGTCCTTCCACTGTGTATCCAGCTCAGGTGATCAGGTTCCTCCTGGTCAGGCTCTTTGCAGGCTGCTGCCTTGCCCATCGAGCCATCTTTCTAGACTCAAACCTGTTCTGACTTTTCACAAGTTTAATTATGATGTGTGATAGAATGGGTTTCTTTGAATCTTTTTTTTTTTGGACTTTTTGCAACTTCTTTATTATGAAGGTTTACACTTGTCAAAATTAAGAATTTTCCACAATTTTTTTACCCTTGTTTTCTTTTTCATCTCTTTTCATGACTCCTATGATAAAATGTTAGCTCTTTCTGCTATAGCCCTATGATATCTGAAGTTCTGGAAGTTTTTCTTCTGTTTGTTTTTGCCCTCAACCTGTTTTCTCTCAGTTCAGATAGTTTTGTTTTGTTTTCTATAGCTCTGACTCATTTTCATTGATGTCCACTATCTATTGCTAAGACCATAGGACATTTTTATTTGAATTGTGCATATATCTATACACATAATACATTTCCTACTTCCTCCCCTCTTGTCCACAGTTGTGACTGTCTTACTGTGAAGTTAGTCCATGCTGCCTCAAACTATATATAGCACAGGTTGACCTCCAGCATTCAGTCCTTTGCCTCTTCCTTTCAAGTGCAAGCATTATAGGGATGAACCACCATACCTAGACCACTTAGAGTTTTTATTCCAAAGTTTCCAGTTTTTGTTTATTCATATCCTGTGGCTTTATTTGCTAATGGCTGTCTTTGTTAAATGTTTGTTTCAAATGTTTTTTTAGTTACTTATCAAAGAATTTTATTATTTTTGCTTGCAAAACTTAGGCCCAAATTTGCTTTGTATGGGAAGATGACTTTGAACTCTTTTTGGTTTTTCGAGACAAGGGTTGGTTCTCTGTGTAACAGATCTGGCTGTTCTGGAGCTCACTCTGTAGACCAGGCTGGCCTCGAACTCAGAGATCTGCCTGTCTTTTCAGTGCTGGGATAAAAGACGTGAGCTACCACTGTCCGGCTGACTTTGAATTCTTGATTTTCCTCTCTCTAGCCTTCCAAGTACTGGGATCACAGATGTTTCCCACCAGGCCTGGCCTGAGCATTTCTTTCTTTCTTTTTTTTTTTTTAAACTTTTAAGTTATATTTATTTGTGTGTATGACTGTGGGATATCACAGTGCATGTGTTGAGGTCAGAGGCCACTTTATGAGTCAGTTTTCTCTTTGCACCACTGTGTGGGTGCTAAGTATTGAACTAAAGTCATCGGAGTTAGCAGCAAGTACCTTTACCTGTTGAACTGTGTATTGACCCCTGGTGAGAGTACTGTCTTTAGCCGGCGTCATGACATTGATTGTTGAGGATACTGATGATGATTTTCTTTCCTAACAGAAATGACATCAGATGTACCATCTCTGGGTCCCACCATTGCTTCTGGAAACCCTGGACCTGGGATTCAGGGTGGAGGAGCTGTTGTACAGAGGGCTATTAAGCGACGATCAGGGTAAGTTTGAATGTATGTCCTCAGTGTCTCTCTTGGAAAATCAATTTGATTGACTTAGTCTCTGCTTCTACTTGTCTGTTCCTGAGCTTACTTTAACTGGTTCCTCACTACACTGCTGTCACATAACTAAGTCTTAGTCCCGGATTTTTCCTTATATAGGCTTGCTATCCTATGTAAATTTCTTTTTAAAAAATCTATATAATTTGAGTTGAAATATAGCATAGCTGCTCTCATCTTACCTCATTCAGAGAACCAAGTGTTTCACATGTAGTATTGACTCCAATTATTACACTACTTTCCTATATCTCACAAGAAAATTTCTTTCTTTTTTCCTTTTTATTTTTTATTTTTATTTTTCAAGACAGGGTTTCTCTTTGTAATAGTCCTAACTGTCTTGGAACTTGCTTTGTAGACCAGGCTGGACTCAAACTCATGAAGATCCACCTGACTCTGCCTCCCAAATGCTGGGCTTAAAGCATATGCCACCACCACCTGGCCCACATGAAAATTTCTAAGCAGGTTAAAAAATTTTTTCTGTTGATGTATCTTTTTGTTTTGTTTTGTCTTTCTAGACAAGGTTTCTCTGTGTAGCCCTGGCTGTCCTGGAACTCACTCTGTAGACCAGGCTGGCCTTGAACTCAGAGATCCACCTGCTTCTGCATCCAGAATACTGAGATCAAAGATGTATACCACCACTGCCCTATGGTTTCTGAACTTTAAAAGCTTCTCTTTCAATGTATCTTTATTGATAAGCAGGCTAAAACAAAAAAGCAAGAAACAAGCAAACAAAATATCAAAAAAAAAAAAATCCCGCACATACACCAAAAACAAAACTCCAAGCCAAACAAACAAAAAACCCTCTGAAGGCTAGGCGGTAGTGCCTTTACTCCCCGCACTTGGGAGGCAGAGGCAGGTGGATCTTTGTGAGTTCCAGAACAGCTAAGGTTACACAAAGAAACCTTGTCTTAAACAGTCCCACACCCCTCCAAAAAAGAAAACTGTTGACTTTCTTTAAGTTCTTGTGTTTGCATTCTTAAATCATTTTCTAAGTTATTGGCTTGAAAAGCACAGTCCATTTAAGGTCCCAAAGTATTTATTTATTTATCTGTTTATTTTAAAGACTACCTACCTTCCTTCCTTCCTACCTACCTACCTACCTACCTACCAACCATGTGTACAGTGTTCTGTCTGCATGTACACCTGCAGGCCAGAAAAGGGCACCAGATCTCATTACAGATGGTTGTGAGCCACCAAGTGATTGCTGGGAATTGAACTCAGAACCTCTGGAAGAGCAGCCAGTGCTCTTAACCTCTGAGCCATCTCTCCAGCCCCGCAAAGTATTTATTTATTTATTTATTTATTTATTTATTTATTTTGGTTTTTCGAGACAGGGTTTCTCTGTGGTTTTGGAACCTGTCCTGGAACTAGCTCTTGTAGACCAGGCTGGTCTCGAACTCACAGAGATCCACCTGCCTCTGCCTCCTGAGTGCTGGGATTAAAGGCGTGCGCCACCACCGCCCGGCTCGCAAAGTATTTATTAAGTACTAAATTCAAATGTTTAAGTGTGCATGGGCAACCTGTTTATGGTGGTTCTCCAGTTGTTCCTATCCCGGGCAGTCCTAGATGTGTGTGTTCTTGTCATATCCAAGCTTCCACAGTCTTCCTTTATGCTGTCTATCCAGCATTTTGGGGGCTTCCTCTTCGCCTTATCCCGTGCACTCTCTAAGAAGGACTATCTTTGGATATCTGCCATCATTCATTCTCATAACATAGTTAAGGTATTTCGAGCGCTGTTGCTGTATCCTGTAGTTTACTTTCTTCTGTAGATGGAGATGTTTCTTTTTTTTTTTTTTAAATGTTCTTTTTTTTAAATTTATTTATTTATTTATTATGTATACAATATTCTGTCTGTGTGTGTCCACAGGCCAGAAGAGGGCACTAAATCTCATTACAGATGGTTGTGAGCCACCATGTGGTTGCTGGGAATTGAACTCATGACCTTTGGAAGAGCAGGCAATGCTCTTAACCACTGAGCCATCTCTCCAGCCCCGGAGATGTTTCTTAATGTCATCGATATGCAGCCTATCTCTTTGTGTGACAACTAGAATCTTCCCGAGACAAGCCATCTCGAACATACTCAGCCACTGTTCTAAGGAGGAAAAATTTACAAGATACTTGTCTTGAGCTGCCTTCATTGCAACTCTGAATCGCAGATAGATAGATAGATAGATAGATAGATAGATAGATAGATAGAATGCAAGATAGAATTTGGCAAAAATAAGTGAGGTGTGGTATCTCATACCTGAAATCCTAGTACTCTACTCAGGAGGATGGAGAATATGAGACCATCCTGAATTACATAGTGATACTCTGTCTCAAAACAAAACTGAAGACAAAGAAAATTAACTAAAAATACACAACAGGAAAAAGTTTGTTTTGGTTTCTTCGAGAGAGGGTTTTCTGTAGCTTTGGAGCCTATTCCTAGAACTAGGTCTTGTAAACCAGGCTGGCCTTGAACTCACAGAGACCCACTGCCTCTGCCTCCCGCTGGGATTAAAGCATGTGCTACCACTACCCGGCTACTTTTTTTTTAAAGCATATAAAAACTAATTTTGGATGGAAACGATTCAGAACAGTTTTGAAAGAAGGTTGCTTTGGGGCAGTGATTCTTACCCTCCCTAATGTTTGACCTTTAATATAGTTCCTCATATAGTGGTGACTCCCAACCATAAAATTATTTTGTTGCTACTTTATAATTCTAATTTTGCTCTTGTTTTAAATTGTAATGGGAATATCTGATATGTAGGATAGAACTACCTAAGGTCCACAGTGAACCTTGGGTGTGACAATAATACAAGCATGTAGGACTGCCAGGATAGGAACAGCTGGAGAACTGCCATGCACAGGCTGCCCATGCCTGCTTAGGCATTGCCCGGGCATAAATGATGGTGAGGACAGACCTACTGCTGTAGGGCCAGTGAGGTCGCTCAGTGGTTGAAGATGCTTGTCTTTGAGGCCAGTTACCTTTGCTTGGTCCCCAGAACCCATGTAAAGGTAGAAGAAAGAGAAAATCACCTCCACCAAGTTGTCCCTTGACTTCTACATGAGTGTGGTGCTCATCTATACATCATACTCTCAAACACAAAAAAATACTAAATGTATAAATAAGTAAATGAAACAAAGTTCTTTTAGAAGCACCTGGGACAGTGAATACTGTTTTACCCACTTTTTACTACAAAATTTTTGTGTGTGTGTGGTGGGGAGTGGTGTTGGGGCTCAGACACAAAGCCTTGTGAATTCTTGGACCAGTACTCTACTAACGAGGTAGTTTCCACAGCCGTTACCTGCTTTTGTTTTTGTTTTTGAAATAAGATCTTATATACCCCATGATCATGATCTAGAACTCATGATCATCCCCTGAATGCTAAGACCACAGTTTTGTATCACCAATCCTTACAGAAAAATACATGAAATATTTCGTTTCAGTGAGATGTCTCAGTGGTTAAGAGTACGTAGTGCTCTTACAGAACACCTGAATTCAGTTGCTAGTACCTCCTTTTGATGGGTCACAACCATCTATGACTCCAGGTCCAGGGGGTCTGATGCCTTCACATGTGCACATGTCCCCGAAAGACATAATAGAATAAAATCTTTTTAGAAATCATAAGAGATGGTCTCTTCAATATCAGACACACATTTAAAAAAGTGTTTACTTTTTTTATTTTGTAGCACAGTCTGTTTTGGTTATTTGATACAGCTTTCTTGTGGCGCCAGTTGGGCTCCTGTTCCTCTTGGTTCTACTTCCCAAGTGCTTGAAAACAAAAACCTGTGACCACCACACCTAGTGTGCGGCAATCCTGCTGTGTAGCTGTGTTGGCCTGGAGTTCACCTTGTTGCCCAAGCTGACCTCCCACTCATACTCCTCTTGCCTCTGCTAGATGATCCAAAGGTACGACCAATTGCCACTACATGTCTTTGATCCCAGCACTTGAGAGAGGCCAGCCTGGTATACATAGTGATTTCCAGGTCAGCCAGAGCAATGTAGAAAGATCCTATTTCAGCACACCTTTAATTCCAGCCCTTGGGAGGCAGAGGCAGGCGGATCTCTGTGAATTTGAGGCCAGCCTGGTGTACAGAGTGAGTTCCAGGACAGGCACCAAAACTATATTAACATTTATTTATTTATTTATTTACTTACTTACTTACTTACTTACTCAGTATGTGTTTAGGTCAGAAAAGAACTTGTGGTTGTTATTTCTTCAGAGGTCCAGTTCAGGCTTGGTGACAAGTGCCTTAACCTGCAGAGCTGTCTCTCTAGCCCCTCTTACATTAGTAGTTGTCTGGGCTGAAAGGGCCTCCAAGGCTAGTTTATCTTTGTCGCATGTCCCAAATATCTTGTGTGCATGTGATCTTGCTTGCCCAGTTGTAACACTATGAAAAACATGTAATTTAGATTTGTTTTGCTTCTTCTCTCTCTGACAGTGTCTGTCTATGTAGCTTAAGGTGGCCTTGAACTTACCATTCTTTTGCTTCTACTTGCCAAGTACTTTGAGTTAAAGGTATGTGCCACCAAGGCTGGCCACTTAGCATAGTGCCTTGAATATAGTGTATATTTCACTTTTAGACTAACAGTATGTTATGTCTTCTTTCCTTTATGTAATATCATTGCTTTGAAAGATGTTTCAGAAAACTGATGACAGAGCTTAGATTAGACCATAAAAATGAGATCTTAGGATTTTAGGACTTTTTTTTCCCCCAGGCAGGGTCTCATGCAGCCCAGGCTAACCTTGAACTCAACAATATAACCAGGGTTGAGCTTGAGCTCCTAATCATCCTGTTCCCACCTCCCATGTGACAAGATTACATGTGTGTGCCACCATGCCTAGTTTTATGCTATAAAGGAAACTTCATACATGTTCTTAAGATCATGGGAACTATTTATACTTCTCTTGGGTCTCTTCCTGGTTACAGTACTTGCCTCGTGTATACAAAACCCTGCTGGAGGTGTCAGTTGTGCTGCTGCTGCTTTTCCCCTCTTCCTTCCTTTGGCTTTTTGAAACAGTTTCTAATTGTGTAGCCAGGGCTAGCCTAGAACTCCCTATGTATCCGAGGGTGGCCTTTCAGTCTTCTCTCTGGTTCTGGTTGATGGGTTGTAGGCATGTGCCACCATGGCTGTTTTGTTATGACACTATGAAAAACATGTATTTTAGATTTGTTTTGCTTCTTCCCACTTCTTTTCCTTCTATTTAGGTGAGCACATAGGCATCTTGTATTAATATATTGTACTTTCTTAAGATTCTGTATTATCAATAGACTCAGAATACTTTTCATTGTCTTTCCCTAGGTTGGATTTTGATGATGACGGAGAAGGGAACAGTAAATTTTTGAGGTAAGAGTTTCGATTTTTTTTAAATGCTTCTGATAATGTGCCCTCTGATGAATGGGCTGGAGGGCTGGAGGGCTGGATCAGTGGGTAATGGTATTTCTACCAAGCCTGATGGTCTAAGTTTGATTTCCCAGAACTCACATTACCAAAGGGCAAAACTGACTGTTGCAAATTGTCCTCTGATCTCTACATACTGCGTGTGGGACAAGTACCTTTCACCCTGACAATAAATAAGTAAAGGTCATAAAATTATTTAAAATCAGTGGACTGGGAATGTAGCTCGCAAGAGTGCTTGCCTCACATCAAGGCTTTGGGTCAGTCCTTAGTACCAAAAATGTTATTTAAGTATCTTTATACTTTTGACTTATAATGTTTTTGTTTATTGGCCTAGAGAATATTCTTTATAGCCTGGCCTAGAGAATATTCTTTATAGCCGGGAGGTGATGGCGCACGCCTTTAATCCCAGCACTCGGGAGGCAGAGGCAGGCGGATCTCTGTGAGTTTGAGTCCAGTCTGGTCTACAAGGGCTAGTTCCAGGACAGGCTCCAAAGCTACAGAGAAACCCTGTCTTGAAAAACAAACAAACAAAAGAGAATATGCTTTATCCTAAAACTGTACATTTTCTTATATCATAGGACAATTTTAGGGATTCTATTATTTTTTGAGATAGCACATCAGAGAAGAGGGCACAGAAAATTTAGAAGACCATCTATAAACCAAGTCGTGTGTTGATTCATGACTTAAAAAGAATAGCAGGCTTGGAAGATAGCTCAGTGGTTAAGGGTTTGACTTTGCAAATCTAAGGATAATAGTTCAGATCCCCAGAACCCACATAAATGTCAGGTGGGCATGGTACCATGCTTATAATTCTAGCCTTGGAAGGTGGAGATAGGAGACCCCTAGAGCAAGCTAGCATGGAGAGTAGTTACCTGCATGCTCTGAATTTGAGAAATCCTGTCTCACTGAATAAGGTGGGAGAGGGATAGAGAAGGATTCCTGACATTGACCTTGGGCTTCTCTATACATATATGCACCTACACATATGAGTGCTGAATTTATTATTTTATTTCCTTCACTTCCATGAGCCTTGCTTGTGAGGAAATGATACTCCCTCATCTCATAAGATAGAAGAGAGATGAAGGATCATTCCCCACATCAACTTTGGGCCTCTTCATGTACGCCCATCCAGACCTTTGCCCATATACATGCATATGTGCACATACACACAAATGGAGAATTGTATGTTGGAAAAGAGTCAGTGGGTTGATTGACTCTTGCTTGGATTCATGGTAAGACTGTGCTCAGTCATCTGGTCTGTTGAAAGTTATACTCAACCAGCATAGTTGCACCTCTTTTCCATTCTCTCTTTCTCCATTCTTCCCCCAACTTCCTGTTCCTACCTCCTCCCACCCCCATTTCCTCATCTTGAAACAGGGCAGTGTGTGGTGATGACTGTAATACAAAGGGCAAGTCTTCGTGTGCTTAATAAACCTCTGCTTCTGTGACTTGTACTAATGTTGGCCAGAGTAGCTTGTTTTGTTTTTTCAAGACAGGGTTTCTCTGTAGCTTTGGAGCCTGTCCTGGAGCTAGCTCTTGTAGACCAGGCTGGCCTTGAACTCACAGAGATCCGCCTGCCTTTGCCTCCCTAAGTGCTGGGATTAAAGGTGTGCGCCACCACCGCCCGGCCAGAGCAGCTTGTGTATGCATGCCCTACATCACTGTTGAAGAGGGCTACAAAAGGATGTGGATGTTGGAAAGTATAATTTGATAATGTTCTACTTTGTCACACTCCAGTACCTGTTGACTCCTCTTTTAGGTAACAGGAATTGGAAATTTTGTGTATTTAAGTGTGTGTATGTGTGTTGGGATCAGGTGGCAGGATCCAGGCCAGCCTCAAATTTGGAGCCTAAGAGTGTATGCAGAAAGTTCCCCATAGGCTTGTATGTTTGAATACATGGGTCCCCAATTGGTGGACCTGTTTGGGAAGTGTTGGGTGTGGCCTTGTTAGATGAGGTGTGTGTCAATGGGGCATTCTCTAAGGTTTCGAAAGACTAGACCATCCCTAGTGTACTCTCTTTGCCTCTTGTTTGTGGAACAAGATGTGAGATTTCAACTCTTTGTGCCAGCGTCCCTTTGCCTCCCCATCAGATGCTCCCAGGACTACCTACCCAGAGGAGGCACTGCCAACTGCCAATTGATGGGCCCTCATCAATTACTAAGAAAAATACCCTACAGGCTTGCTCACAGGCCATTTGATTGGAGACATTGTCTCATCTGAGATTCCCTTTCTCAGATATATCTAAGTTTGTGTGACAAAACCCAATCAACATAGCAATTGAAAATATTCTTGTCACATCATCTTTTTGTGTGTCTGATAACTGAGAACCATGGCAGGTGATAATCGTTGGGTTTAAAATTCTGTCAATTGCTGCTGGCTGGTATCTGTTGCTTTGTGATGCTTGTTCATTGGCCCTTTCCCTGTTGACTATTTTTACTTCTTTCTAGTTTTTATTTCAGAGTAGAATTGATAAGTGCAGTGGTTTGAATTAATCTTTTCCCTGCCCCCTCTCTTTTCAGATGTGATGATGAACAGATGTGTAATGACAAAGAGCGTTTTGCCAGGTAATGTACTAGAATTTTTGTCCTGGTTATGGGATCAAGCCATCTAAATATTGGATTTAAACTTTATCTAGGTGAGAGTGGATTTCTCTGTTTAGTGTCTTTCCTTTTCTGAATAGTTTTGAAACAGCCTATAATTTATGTGTGTTCAGATCACCTGACTTGAAACTAGTGATGTATTTTTATAGTGCTTTTCTCATGTATACAAGTTACAATATTATGTTTACTGTATCTATGGGAACACAAATTATGAACTTCTTGTGTTGGTTGGTTTGTTCATTTTTGAGACAGTGTTTCTCTGTGTAGCTCTGCTGTCCTAGAACTCACTCTGTAGACCAGGCTGGCCTCGAGCTCAGAGATCCATCCTGCCTCTGCCTCCCAAGTGCTGGGATTAAAAGTGTGCATCACCACCACATGGCTGGATATACTTATTATTAATTGGTACAGATAATGGAAGAATTTTTAAAGAAAATGATTTTTACTCATTTAAATTATTTTTTCTAGATAATAAACTTAAAATGGTTTAAATAAGTGTTAGAAGATTATGAAATATACTTATTTTACTTTTTATTAAAGAATAATATTTATCAACCCAAATACTGGTTTTACTTTTTGAAAATTCTTGCTATGAGTTACTCTTCAAAAGGAGGTTATGGGGCTGGAGACATGGCTCTGTGGGTGAGAATGCCTGCTGCATTTGCAGAGGATCTGAATTCTGTTTCCAGCATGAACATGGTGGCTCTTAACCACCTGTAACTCTAGCTCCAGTGAACATGACATCCTCTTGGCTTCTGGGGACTTACAAATGCACACGATCATACAAACATGCAAATGCGCACATATACACATAAATAAATACTTGGGGAGCCATGATGTCAGGTTCCAAGTATAAGCCTGTGCCCCTGGCCATTCTCCCCAGTACCCTTGACCCAGCAGTGTGACATGTCCCAGGAGATCAGAAAGGTACAGGTCAAGCACGAAACACCCCTTCCTAAACAGGAGCATCTTCTTCAGTACAGTGACTCCAAATGCCAAACACACATCAAAAATTTTATCTTGACTCACTGGACCTAAGCAAGTTCAGCAAATGTCATCATAATTTTATAACACTCCTAGGAACTAACTTGAGGATTTGGGCCCCTTAGCTTCTGATATTATGTTTCAAAACAGGGACAGAAAGGAAAGACTTAGCCAGGAAGGAAAATTGGACGAACATTTAACTTCTCATATTAAGTTTGGCAAAGATGACTTTTATTCTTGCATAAATAGGTCTTCTACTAATCACTGAAAATTAATAAATAAATAATTTAAGCTCAATCCCTAAGTCCAACTGTGAAAGGAAGGACTTATTCCCGAAAGTTACCCCCTTCCACACACACTGTGTCACTCAGGTGCCTGTACTTATACACATGTACATCATATAGATGCACATAATGATAATAAATAAGAATTTAGAAAATACTAAATTTTTGGATGAGGAGATGGCTCAGGGTCTAAAGTACTTATACCCAGAACTCACATAAAATCTTGATACAATATCCCAAGAGTCGATAATCCTAGTGCATCCTTTGGAGAGACAGAACAAGACGGGAGAATAGCCAAAAGCCCATGAATCAGCTAACTTGATGTGTGCAGAGTGAACAATAGAGTCATCCTATCTCAGACCAGGCATAGACCAACACCTGAGGCTGTCCTACCTTCCCATGCACCACATACATCCCAGCTGTAACCACTGGGATAAGTAATTTTATTTTTAAATGTTATATTTATTTGAGTACTTTAAAAAATGATTTATTTTTAATTATGCTTATATGTGTCTGTGTATGGGAATACACATGTGAGTGTTGGGTGTCAAGAGAGGCTGGAAGAGCAGCAAGCACACTTCACCACTGAACTGTTTCTCTAGCCCAGTGAATATTGATTTAAGATTTTATTACATTCATTGATTGATTAATTGACAGAGAAAGAGAGAAAGAGCTGCATTCTACACGTGGAACTTAGAGCACAACTTCTGGGGGTGGATTCTTGCCTTTAATCCACTGAGCCACCCTACCCGCACTTCTGTGAATCCTTATTAATAGTATTTATTCATTGTTGACCCTGCCTGTCTGGGGTCCACTTTGAGGCTACTGATCTAGAGAACTGAGAAGCAGATTAATTTAAAACTCTTAGAAACAGTGTTGGCAGTGTATAGGGCTGGTTGAAGAAAACAGGTAGGTAGGCAGAAAGGAGGGAGGTAGACAGAAGCTGCTGAACTATTAGGGCAGCTATGAAATCATTAGTCCTTGGGCACAGAGAAGTGGCCTTGGCACTAGGTGAAGAGTTTATTAAAAATGTCTTGAAATAAATGAAATCTTAAGGATACAAATGGTCTCCAAAGTGAAAAGTTAGTTATTGATTTTTGTGGTAATGATCTAGATTCTATTAAAAAGTCAAACCATAAAACTGGTGACACAGGCCTTTAATCCCAGTACCCAGGAGGCAGAGACAGGTGGATCTCTGATTTCAAGGCCAGCCTGGTCTACAGAACTAGTTCCAGGACAGCTAGGGCTGTTATACACAGAAAGCCCCGACTCCGAAAAAAACCAAAAACTGGATGTGGTTGGACACTTGTAATCTCCGTGCTCTAGAGGCAGAGGCAAACTATCAGAAGTCTGTGTTAGGGTCCTGGAGATGACAGGGATTCGATTCCCAGCACTCACATGGTTTGCAACCATCTATGAGTCCAGTTCCAGGGGATCCAATACCCTTCTCTGTACTTGCATGCCCATGCCCTCTTCTGGGCCTTGAATGCTTGTGGTGCACATGCATACATAATAAGCAAAACATACAGAAAAATAAAAATAGATACTTTATGTATTTAAGGCTATCCTGGACTAAAGAGCAAGTTCCAGATCATTAAGGCATGTAGTATAGGTTCACAATCTATTGATTGATTGAAAAATCTAGGAATCAATAAAAACACAACCTGGAGTATTTTAATCTACCTATTCCTGTTCTGTTCAGAAAAACTGGAGTATGCAAAATATGGCTACTAAAAGGATTTTTAAAACAAAAATTCATTTCTTTTGGGGCTGGAGAGATGGCTCAGAGGTTAAGAGCATTGCCTGCTTTTCCAGAGGTCCTGAGTTCAGTTCCCAGCAACCACATGGTGGCTCACAACTATCTGTAATGAGGTCTGGTGCCCTCTTCTGGCCTGCAGGCATACACGTAGACAAAATATTTTATACATAATAAATAAATAAATAAATATTTTTTTTTTAAATTTTATTTCTTTCTTTTTTAAGTTGGTTTTTCAAGACAGGGTTTCTCTGTGTAGCCCTGGAATTCTCTCTGTAGACGAGGCTGGTCTCAAACTCAGAACTCAGAGATCCGCCTACTTCTGCCTTCTGGGTGCTGGGATTAAAGGCATGTGCCACCACCACCAGAGGCTCTTCTAAATCATTTTAAAACATGGCCTATTAATATTCTGTCTTTAAACAATAGTTGAGTGTGCATATGTTTGTGTCTGTCTGCATGTTGTGCATATGAGGACATGTGCCTTTGGAAGCCATAGGGTTCCCCAGAGTTTGATTTATAGGCAGTTGTGAGCTGTTCACCATTAAGTGCTAGGAACCAAACCCAAATCCTCTTCCAGAACAGTGTGTGCTCTTAATCTCTGAGCAATATCTCTAGTCTCTTTTTTTGAGCTAAGATTTCACCATCCTTGTCTTTTCTGGAACCTTCAGGTGTTATTTTGCCTCTGTTTTCCAAGTACTGGCATTAAAGTCAGCTCTTCTTTTTCTACTGACCATTTTTTGAGTAAGTATATGTGCATACAAAGTCCAGAGGGACAACTTTAGGTGTCATTCATCAGGAGCCACCACCTTTCTCTCCTTCTGCCCCCTGCCCTCAGACAGGGTCTCATTTCTCTGTCTTGGGATGCACCAAATTGGCTAGGCTGCTGTTAAGCTCCTGGGATCCTCCTATCTCTGCCTTCCCAGTGCCAAGGTTCCAAGGATTTTACGTTTCTATTTTATTAGAATTTCTCCATATATTCTTAAAACATAATAATAATAAAAATAAAGCTCATTGTTATTAATATTTTTTTAAATATTTATTTATTATGTATACAATATTCTGTGTGTATGCCTGAAGGCCAGAAGAGGGCGCCAGACCTCTTTACAGATGGTTGTGAGCCACCATGTGGTTGCTGGGAATTGAACTCAGGACCTTTGGAAGAGCAGGCAATGCTCTTAACCACTGAGCCATCTCTCTAGCCCTCCATGCTCATTGTTATTAATATTAAACTCAGTTTTTGCTCTTTTGCAAATTCTTAGGCACAAGCAGTTCTCCTGTTTCATTATCCCTAGTAGCTGAGACTATAAGGCCCCTGCCTCCTGCTGTGTCAATCCTAACAGAGTCTTAACTTATTTTATTTGCATGACTGCTTTTATTGTCTTTGTTTATGTGAGATAATCTCTGGCCTGTTGCTCAGTTCTCATGTTCATATGTGTTCTAACATTGAGATACATACTCCCTGTCATCTTAAATTTTTTTTCTTTAAATTCACTTATTTTATCTGTATATCTCTTGCCTGCATGCATGTCTCTGCAGCTGGTGCTCTTAACTACTGGCTGTCTCTCCAGCCCCATTGTTGTCATTTTGAATAGAGTTTACTTAGAAAACTTATTTGAGGCTTATCTCTCTTAAAGTAATAAGTACTGATTGAGTAAATTAGCTAATACCTTGTTTTTCAGTTGCTACCGCACACCTCTTTTTTTGGGGGTGAAGATTTTGAGATGATCTTTGTACATAGCCCTGGTTGTTCTGGAACTCACTATGTAGACCAGGCTGGCCTTGAGATCCTCTAGTGCTGAAATTAAAGACATGTACCACCACACCTACTCTCTGCCACCTGCCACCCAGTCTTAACAATATCTTGGTTTTTTGGAAGAATTTAGTGATAACTTCTGTCTTTCTCCAAGGGAGAAGGAATTGATATTGATTAAACTACAGAAAAAGTGCTAAGGTGACCAAACCAGAATCGATTAGCTTAGGAGTATGTCAGTGATAGAGAAAATGATGCAAGAAGATATGCTCTTGGTTTAAGGATATAAATTCATGAGTAACATCTGGTCATCGTCCAGCTAGATGGCTCAGCATATAACTCATACCACCAAGCCTGAGGACCTAAGTTCTAACCCCCAAATCTCATGATGAGAGAACAGACCCACAAATTGCCCTCTAACATCTACGTATACTCTTGACATGCATATGCACGCACACAGATTCACTAAACATTACACTGGGAAAAACAAATCTGGTCATCATTTTGTGTGTGTGTATGTGTGCGTGTTTATGTTAGGGAATTATATTTCTGGTCAGTTGTTTGAAGCTGCTTGATTTAGTCACTGTAGAATATTGTGTGGGTATGACTTTCTTCCCAGGTTGGCAGCAGCTTACAAGGATGATCATCCTGAGCTCCCTGACTGGCTCCTCTTCAAACTCTGTCTTTGGTCTCTAGAGAGATGGGCTGGCAAAATGTTTTTCTGAGTTGCGATCATGAAAGTTCCTGATTGGCCTTGCCTTTTGTCTTATAAGTTACTTAAAAAAAATGGTTCTGTAGATTATAAGCAAGGTTCCTGCTTGTATCTCCTTTTCCTTCCTTTTCTCTGTATCCATTTGATTTCTTTTTTCCCATTTGCATGTTATTTTTCTCCTCCTTTCATCCACCCTTTCTCTCTTCTCTCATTTCTTCGTTTTTATTTTAATTTTCGCTTAGTTCACCAATTCTGTTTTTAGGTCGGATGATGAGCAGAGCTCTGCGGATAAGGAGAGACTGGCCAGGTAGGAACTGTGTGTTAGCATGAAGCAGATGCTGCTGTTCTTCTTACCTTTGTCTCACCCATCATTTCTTCCCCTTTCTGTATTTTCTCTTATCTGTGGCAAAAAAAAAAAGGACACAATTTTTAACAAGTTTGGGTGTAACAGGAACTTCGGCTACCCCTTCAGAAAGTTGTTAAGCCGGGCAGTGGTGGCAGACTCTTTTAATCCCAGGTGTGACGAAGCAGAGGCAGGTGGATCTCTGTGAGTTTCAGACCAGCCTGGTCTACAGAGTGAGTTCTAAGACAGAGTAACCCTGTCTTGAAAAACATAAAAACAAACAAACTAAAAAGAACAAAGATTAGAAATTGCTGTATTCGTTATTTTTAATTTTTAATTTTCTCTATTACTAAATTCACAGAATGAAAAGGATTTAGAAATAATGTAGTGGGGGCTGGAGAGATGGCTCAAAGTTTAAGAGCAAGCACTGGCTGCTCTTCCAGAGGTCCTGAGTTCAGTTCCCAGCAACCACATGATGCCTCACAACCATCTGTAATGAGATCTGGTGCCCTTTTCTGGCATTCAGGTATACATGCAGGCAAAACATTGTACAATTATGTATATTGTATACCTAATAAATAAATCTTTAAAAAATAAAGAAATAATGTATTGGTGCTTTAACAGAAAAATACTCTATTAGAATACCTCTAATCGCCATTAATTCCCAATATTTAGGACATAGCACTTACTTTGCACTTCCCTATGTAGACTTCCAGACTAGATTACTCTGTCAGCAGAACTGATTGAATCCTTGTCATTTCTGAGGAAAGTTTTAGCTACCTTAGTATGACTGTTTAAAGATGGAGAGATTGCTTGGTCTGTAAAGCATGCTGTGCAGGCATGAGTACCAGAGTTTTGTCCTCAGAACCCACTAAAAAGGAGGGTGTGGGTTTATAACTCTGCATATGTGTGTGATTCTAGCACAAAAGGGAAGCAGCAGCAAGCAAATCCCTCAAGTCACCAGGCAGCTATGCTAGCTTAGTAGTCAAACCCAAGTCCCACTGAGAGATGCTGACTTAGAAAACAAGGTGGGAGGCGGGTGTCTTAAGAACTAACACCTGTGTGGTGACACACACCTTTATTCCCAGCACTCAGGAGGCAGAGGTAGGCAAATCTCTGTGAGTTTGAGGCCAGCCTGTTCTACAAAGCGAGTTCCAGAACAGCCAAGATATACAGAAAAACCCTGTCTTGGAAAACCAAAAATAAAAAAAAGTAACTCCTGAGATTTGCCTTTTTCCACATCCATGCACACAAGTGCTCACATACACTCCTGCAGTGTGCATTTGTGCACACATTACTTCTCTGGACGTCACACTCAAATTTGTCAGGTACAAAGAAAATGGATACTTTAAATTTGAGAGTAGATTTTTTTCTATGTCCCAAGCAAGGCAACTAAATATGAACCTATGTAGTGGGACCTTTTAGTGTTTTGGAAAGAGACTTTACAATCAGCCCATCTTTCCTCTTTCAAGACAGGGTCTTGTGTACCTATGCTGGCCTTAAACTCATGGTTCTCCTGCTTCTGCCTTCCAATTACTAGGATTCTGGGTATGTGCCATCATGTCCAGATAAATAATCTCTACAGTCAGATTTTCTTTTGAAGGGAGTACTAGGGGTTGGAGTTAGCTTTGTGTGCTATGGATGAACACTGTGCCCCTCCCTCTGTTAGTTCTCTTTAGGCTACTGATCATGATAGAGAAATACTGCTTTACACCCAAACCTTTCTGGTCTGCTCTTTGAGTTGGCATGCCTTACTAGTAACTGGATTATTAATACAAATATTTTTACTATTTTCCCCCTATATTACTTCTTCAAGCTGGGCCACAGATTCATTCTAGGGCTATCTCAACTCATGCCTACTACTGCTAATGCTTCTACCCTTCAGAGACCTGACTCAACATGACAGTTGTGAAGAAAGCATTGCACGGAGGAGGAGGAAAGCTCTGGGAAAGCCTTTAATCCTTTGACTTCATTTATCTCATTTTATAAGAAGTACATTTGTGTTAGATTAGTGTGGGGGTTTTTTTTGTTGTTGTTTTGATTTGGTTTTTGGGTTGTTTGGTGTGTCTCTCTCTCTCCCCCCACCATCTCTCTCCCCCTCTCTCCCCGTCTCTACAGAATAGATCCGTAAGTGGTAAAGAAGTACATAAAGATGGTAAAGCCAAGTTGTTCAGCCAGGAGCCAAAACGCAGCCTGTTCGGCTTTCTCTTTGAGGTTTTCTCTTCCATTATCATGGAAGCCCCTGAACAACCTTTTAACTTTCTGGAATTCCTGATTGTCAACTGACTCTTAGCTTATTCCTCTTAACAGTCACATTGTAATTCTGCCTCAGTTTGAAGATCTTTGTTATCTCGGTTAAAATCTGTTACCCTGGTGAAATCCAAGTTCTCTTTCCATGCTTTCAATTCTACATCTCCCTACTGTACTTCTAATCCCTACATACATTCTGCCCTGTCTGCCGACCCACATGATAACTTTGTACTCTTCAGTTCAGTGCACTGCCAAACCCAGATACGAAGGTAGGACTTTTGTGCATTAGCGTAACAAATAAAATTCCAGAATCTTTCAGTTCTGCATTTTAATGTCATAGAAACTTACAACAAAGCAGCATTTAGTATACTTGTAGTAATAAGAGCGGCGGGGCTGCATCCCCAGCACCCCAGCCGCCTGGCTAGCTTATGCCCCGAAATAACAACACACAAATTGTATTCATTTAAACACTACTTGGCCCTTTAACTCTAGCCCTTACTGGCTAATTCTGATATCCCGATTAACCCATCTCTAATAATCTGTGAGCACCGGTCTTACCAGGAAGAGTCTAGCCTACGTCCATCCTGGGTCGGAGCTTCATCGCGTGTGAGCGGGGCATGGCGTCTCTCTGAGGCGTCTGCCCCCGAGAGGAGAGCTGTCGAGTCTGAGCTCACTTCCTCTTCCTCCCAGCATTCTGTTCTGCTTACTCCACCCACCTATGTTCTAACCTATGAGGGCCAGCCAAGCAGTTTCTTTATTTTTTTTAACCAATGACCTTGCTCCATCATATACTAAGAGAACTTATGCTATCATGTTTTCTTTTTTCTTCCTTTTTTTCTTTTTGAGACAGGTCTCACTTTGTAGCCCTGGCTGTCGTGGAGCTCACAGAGATCCTTCTGCCTCTACCTCTTGAGTACTGGGATTAAAGACGGATGCCACCATATGTGGCTTCTCTTTCCCCTTTCCCTCTCCCTCTTCCTTTCTGTCTTTTCTTTTTCTTTCTTTCTTTTTTTTTCAGAATCTCCTTTTTATTTTTTATTTTATTTTTTTATTGAAAAAAAATTTCTGCCTCCTCCCAGCCTCCCATTTCCCTTCCCCTCCTCCCACTCCTCTCCCTCTCCCCCCACTCCTCTCCCCCTCCCTCTCCAGTCCGAAGAACAGTCAGGGTTCCCTGCCCTGTGGAAAGTCCAAGGTCCTCCCCCCTCCATCCAGGTCTAGGAAGGTGAGCATCCAAACTGGCTAGGCTCCCACAAAGCCAGAACATGAAGTAGGATCAAAACCCCGTGCCATTGTCCTTGGCTTCTCATCAGCCCTCATTGTCCACCATGTTCAGAGAGTCCGGTTTTATCCCATGCTTTTTCAGTCTCAGTCCAGCTGGCCTTGGTGAGCTCCCAATAGATCAGCCCCACTGTTTCAGTGGGTGGGTGCACCCCTCACAGTCCTGACTTCCTTGCTCATGTTCTCCCTCCTTCTGCTCCTCATTGGGACTTTGGGAGCTCTCATTCCGGTGCTCCAATGTGGGTCTCTGTCTCTATCTCCATCCATCGCCAGATGAAGGTTCTATGGTGATATGCAAGATATTCACCAATATGGCTATAGGATAGGGCCATTTCAGGTTCCCTATCCTCAGCTGCCCAAGGAACTAACTGGGGACATCGCCTTGGGCTCCTGGGAGCCCCTCTAGGTTCCAGTCTCTTGCCAACCCTAAGATGGCTCCCTGGCTCCCTTAATTAAGATATATACTTCCGCCGGGCGGTGGTAGCCCACGCCTTTAATCCCAGCACTCGGGAGGCAGAGGCAGGTGGATCTCTGTGAGTTCGAGACCAGCCTGGTCTACAAGAGCTAGTTCCAGGACAGGCTCTAAAATCACAGAGAAACCCTGTCTCGAAAAACCAAAAAATAAATAAATAAATAAATAAATAAAGATATATACTTCCCTGCTCCCATATCCACCCTTCCTTTATTCCAACCATCCCATTTCCCCAAGTGTCTCCCATCCTCCCCTTCTCACTTTTCTCTCCCCATCTCCCCTTACCCCCATCCTACCCCACCCCCACAATCCAATTTTTTGCCCGGCAATCTTGTCTACTTCCCATATCCAGGATAACTATATGTTTTTCTTTGGGTTCACCTTCTTATTTAGCTTCTTTAGGATCACAAATTATAGACTCAATGTCCTTTATTTATGGCTAAAAACCAAAGCCCAGACTATTATACCCAGCTAAGCTTTTGTTCACTATAAATGGAGAAAACAAAATTTTCCAGGATAAAAACAAATTTAAACAATATGTAGCCACAAATCCAGCCTTACAGGAAGTAATAGAAGGAAAATCACAAACCAAGGAGTCCAACATTACCAACACTGCCCACAATAACTCAGACATATAGAGACCCTTCACCAGCACAACTCGAAGAAGGGAAACACACAAACTCTACTACCAAAAAAATGACCGGAGTTAAAACCACTGGTCATTAATATCACTTAATATCAATGGACTCAACTCACCTATAAAAAGGCACAGGCTAAGAGATTGGATACGAAAACAGGATCCAACATTCTGCTATTTACAAGAAACACACCTCAACCGCAAAGACAGGCATCTACTCAGAGTAAAGGGCTGGGAAAAGGCTTATCAAGCAAATGGACCTAAGAAACAAGCAGGTGTGACCATACTAATTTCTAACAAAGTCGACTTCAAACAAAAATCAATCAAAAGAGATGGAGAGGGACATTTTATACTCATAACAGGATGAAGTCTCAATCCTGAATATCTATGCCCCTAATATAAAAGCACCCACGTACATAAAAGAAACATTACTAAAACTCAAGGCAGTCATCAAACCACACGCACTAATAGTAGGAGACTTCAACACTCCTCTCTCACCAATGGACAGGTCAATCAGACAGAAACCTAACAGAGAAATAAGAGAATTAATGGAGGTAATGAATCAAATGGACTTAACAGACATCTATAGAACATTCCACCCAAATAGGAAAGAAGATACCTTCTTCTCTGCAGCTCATGGAACCTTCTCAAAAATTGACCACATACTCGGTAACAAAGCAAACTTCCACAGTTACAAAAAAATATTAGTAACCACCTGTGTCTTATCGGATCACCGTGTATTAAAGTTAGAATTCAACAACAATGCTACTCCCAGAAAGCCTACAAACCCATGGAAACTGAACAGTCAACTACTGAACCATACCTGGATCAAGGAAGAAATAAAGAAAGAAATTAAAGTCTTCCTTGAATTCAATGAAAATAAAGAAACAACATACTCAAACCTATGGGACACTATGAAAGCAGTCCTAAGAGGACAGTTCATAGCACTAAGTGCCCACTTAAAGAAAATGGAGAAAGCACATTTTGGAGACTTAACAGCCCACCTGAAAGCTCTAGAAAAAAAAAAAGCAGACTCACCTAGGAGGAGTAGAAGACTGGAAATAATCAAACTGAGGGCTGAAATCAACAAAATAGAAACACAGAAAACAATCCAAAGAATCAATGAAACAAAAAGCTGGTTCCTGGAGAAAATCAACAGGATTGATAAGCCCCTATCCAAATTAATCAAACGGCAGAGAGAGAATATGCAAATTAATAAGATCAGAAATGAAAAGGGGGACATAACCACAGACACAGGAAATTCTTTTTTTGTTTTTTAGCACAGTTTTATGTATTCCAAGCTGGCCATGGACTTGATATGTAGCCAAGAATGAATTTAAACTTTTGATCCACTCAAATGCTGGGATTATAGGTTTATACAATTACACCTGTTTTATGAGCTGCTGGAGATCAAACCCAGAGCTTTGTGTATGCCAAACAAGTACTCGACTAGCTGAAGTAAATTCCCAATCTGAGGTGGTGGTTGCTGCTGCTTTTTCTTCTCCTCCTTTAAAAGGGGCAGGGAGCAGGGGTAGTTTTGAGACCAGTATTGCTGTGTAGCCCAGACTGGTCTTAAACTCACTTTGAAGTTCATGATGATTCTCTTGTCTTAGCCTCTCAGTTGCTGGGATTATAGACAGGCGTGTGCCACCATGCCTGGCCTCATTTGGTTCTTTTAGAACAGGCTATTACTATGTAGTTTAAGTTCCCCTAGATCTTACTATATAGCTCTTACTGTATAGCTTACTGTATACCTCAGACTTAAAATTCTTGTGCAGGAATTATAAGCATGTGCTATTCATGTCTGGCCTCTGTACTATTACTTCTTTCATCAGCTATTGATCTACTTCAATTAGCAAAAGTCGGTCATTTTCTAGCCTTCAGGTGTTTTAATTAGTAACCATGCAGTCAGTGAAGCTGAGACTTGCTCCCTTAGGAACTTAAGTAAATGAAATCAACATTTAAAAAAATTATTATTTCTAGTGTTTGTTTGTTGTTTGAGACAGCATTTCTCTGTGTAAGTCTGGCTGTCCTAGAACTCACTCTGTAAACCATTCGGGCCTTGAACTCAAGAGATCTCCCTGTCTCTGCCTCCTGAGTTCTGGGATTAAAGGCGTGTGCCACCATGCCCATCTTTAACTATTATTTTTAAGACATTTCTTTACTCTGAAGAAATAGTGATCTAGAGGAAGTGGTTTCCTGGAGAGGCATTTTATCCTTGTTCTTTGTCTAGACTTCCTTGGTTTGTTTCATGCTTACTCTGCATGAGGTTGACCTGCTTGACTTCTGAGACTTGAACTTTATTAAAACCTAAGTACTATATCTTTCAGCAGCTGACCTGGTACCCGTATCACTCTCCTGATACCAGAGGGCCAGACATGACCACCTAGAATGGAGCTTCTCTCTCTTTCTCCATGCAGGGAAAATCATAGTGAAATAGAGCGGCGGCGACGGAACAAGATGACAGCTTACATCACAGAACTGTCAGACATGGTACCTACCTGTAGCGCCCTGGCTCGAAAACCAGACAAGCTGACCATCTTACGAATGGCTGTTTCTCACATGAAGTCCTTGAGGGGAACTGGCAACACATCCACTGATGGCTCCTACAAGCCATCTTTCCTCACTGATCAGGTCTCTGGAACTTAAAGTGACTCTGAGTAGATATGTTGAAAGCTTTAGACTAATTTCGTGTGGTTTTTGTTGTTTTGTTTTGTTTTTGAGGTAAGGTCTCATGTGACCTCCAACTTACTATACTGTCAGCAGCGACATTGGCCTGATCTCTTGCCTCCACCTCCCACATGTCACCATGACCAGCTTCAGAAGTTTGCTCAGGAAACAGCAGACCACATGGAAAAATGAATTTCAGAGCCAGGCAGTGGTGGCACACGCCTTTAATTCTAGCACTCAGGAGGCTCAGACAGGCAGATCCCTATGAGTTCGAGGCCAGCCCAGTCTGCAGCACTAGTTCCAGGACAACAGACTTGAAACTCCACTCCTCCCCCCCAAAAAAGAAAAAGAATTTCGATCTTTGGGTATAACTAAGTATTGGGGTAGTGAGAAGTAGACAAAAGTTGTAAGCACTGTTTAGCAGTAGGTAGTAGGTGTTTTAGATCTTGACTCATACATACAGCCTGTGAAGTGGAAGGAGGCTGACTGCCAGAGAGAGGACCATGTTCACGGAACCAGGATTCCTTAGGTTTAGAATTCTAGAAGATGGAAAAGTTCTGTCTCAGCCCTGAAGCAACTTCTAGTCTAACAGGCAGTCGCTGTTGCTCCATGATACTTCTGTTAAATTTGGTATACACATGAAAACAGATGGCAGAGATAGTTCCGTCATTCAGGAACTCCATGTAAGAGCTATGGCTGTGCTGGAGACCCTTGGTTCAGTCTATGCTACTGCCAGAAGACCTAAATTTGAACATAATACATATTATGTGAGTGGTAAAATTATAAATGAAAAATGATGGAAAGAGGCATATGGAGAGCCGGATGGCTTTTTTGTTAATATTTTATTTGTGGTAAATATAAAGGTGAGATGTCTAAATTTATTTAGTCTCTCTAACCTTGAATGAAAGTAACTGTGGAAGACAAGTTACATTTTAATTAGAAATCCAGGACATGCCTTTAATCCCAGCACTAAGGAAGCCAAGTCCAGCCTGGTTTACACAGAGAATTCTAGGTCGGCCTGAACTATGTAGCAAGACCCTTTTTCAAAAACTAAAAAAGATATATGATTGTTCATAACAAGAAAGCAAAAAAAACACTGAGTTTGATCCCTAACACCAAATACAACTAGACATGGTAGCTCATAACCTGTGATTTTAGCACTAGGGTAGGAGTAAGAAGTTGGAAGTCATCCTCCCAAGGGCCAGCCTTGTATACATAAGACCTTATCTAAAATAAATATGTGTACACATGCAGTGTGTGATTACTGTGACCATGCCTTTTTTAAAAGCCAGTTATTAGCTATACGTGTTAGTTCTAATTCCGTACTTGTAGAGGATTGCCATGAGTCCAAGGCCAGAAGACCCCTGCCCCCCTCCAAAAACTTTATCATTGTAAGCCTTTTTATTCTCCCTTGAGTCTTAAGAAAAAGAGGTAGAGGGGGCTGGAGAGATGGCTCAGTGGTTAAGAACATTGCCCTCTTCTGGCCTGCAGGCATATACACAGGCAGAATATTGTACTCATAATAAATAAATAAATAATTTAAAAAAAAAAAGAGCATTGCCTGCTCTTCCAAAGGTCCTGAGTTCAATTCCCAGCAACCACATGGTGGCTCACAACCATCTGTAATGAGGTCTGGTGCCCTCTTCTGGCCTGCAGACATACACACAGACAGAACATGGTATACATAATAAATAAATAAATATTAAAAAAAAAGAAAAGAAAAGAAAAAGAGGTAGCTAGCATCTTAGAAAAATGGAATAAATATTTATTGTAAAAAACTTTGCCAGTGTATATTTAGGATGGGAACTCATGACTTGGCTGAGATGTGAGCCTGAAATTCGTAATGGAGCAATGTGTATATACAAAGGGTCTTCCTGTTTCTCATGACTAGAAATATATGGTTTTTCAGAGTTCACTGTTGACTTGACTTATTTTCTTAACCAGGAACTGAAACATTTGATCTTGGAGGCAGCGGACGGCTTTCTGTTTATTGTCTCCTGTGAGACTGGCCGCGTGGTTTATGTCTCTGATTCAGTGACTCCTGTTTTGAATCAGCCACAGTCTGAATGGTTCGGGAGCACACTCTATGATCAGGTGCACCCAGACGATGTGGATAAACTCCGAGAGCAGCTGTCTACTTCAGAAAATGCCCTGACAGGTGAGAGTTGGGTGGATAACAAATGAGTGGGGAAAAGTCTTTATTTTGCTGAGGCATTAGAGATATTTAAGCCCTTATATTGGTTTGTTGAATCTGACAGAGCTTATAAAAATTTTCCCTTTATGAATATAATTCTTAAATTTTATTCATGTGCAGAATATCTACTCTGTGGCTTGTTCTTAGAAAATGTTTCATAAGTGGTTGTGTTCTTAAGTTGTTTTGTGTCCTAATTATACTGTTAAAAAAACGGGGAAATTAAAATGTTGCAATAGTTTCCTTCTCCTGTCTCTACATAATAAAAGAACTATCTATGCTTGTATTTCATTTATTATTTGCCATTTTTTTTATACCAACTTGTGCTTGACGTAGTGCTAGGTTCTATGATAATAGATTCTAATATTATAGGAGAGTGGTTATTCATCAGTGTATACGGTACTTGGTTGTTACCCTTGTGTTTCTACTTTGTCATTCTTCCTCCACCCATTTAAATGAGATTTAGTCCTCTGCCAGCATTTGGGTAGAGGAATGAGTGTTATTTGTTCTGGGCAACTGTATAGGAAGTTATAAAATGGAAAGAAATAACTGGTAGTTAAAAATCCATGAAATTCTAATATCTCTGTGGTGGACATGTTTGAATTAATTTTGTAGTTTAGTTTTTTCCTTCTTTTGTGATTTTTGTACATTTTACTTCTCTAGTTTTCTGTTTCCCCAGAGGTTACTGCTGTTTTCTTTTTAGTAAATAAAGGAGAGAAAAGTTTTGTTTTCAGACAGATACGTTTCTTAGCATGTAAAATCACTAGTTTTTAAACAAGGCACCCCACCCCCAAGCCTGAAGATAATTAGTAAACTGGCTAGATGGCTTAGTGGGTAAAGGAGCTTGTTGTGTGAGCCCAGCAACTTCAGCTTAGCCTGCAGAGCCTGGGTGAAGTGGAGGGGAGATAACTCCACAGAGCTGTCCTCTGACCTCATGTATATGAATAGACTCATGCATGCAGCAACAAAAATACTGAAGTTTTGTGAAAAAAAAAATCAAGCATAAGAATACACCTTGCTTGGCCAAAGCAGTGGTGTCACACACTTTAATACCAGTACTTGGGAGGCAGAGGCAGGCAGATCTCTGGGTTTGAGGCCAGCCTGGTCTACAATAATGAGTTCCAGGACAGCCAGGGCTACACAGAGAGCCCTGTTTCCTAAAACCAAAAGAGAGAGCAAGATAGACAGAGAGACACACGCAGTGCCTCCTGCTTCCTCCGGTATTGGAATGGAAATTCCTGCCTTGCCCAGAGACATTTCCAGTGCTGTCTTAGAACTGACAGAGAGTCCTATATGGGGATTGGAGTAGTTGTGGCTTTAAAAAAGAAAAGCATCTCTATCATAAACAAGACGACTGGAGGGCAGGGAAGGGTGCTTCCTTTGCCTCCTGTATCTCCTTCTTTTCCAGTCATAAGAATTAACTTCAGATTGCTCTCCACATCCTCCTCCAGGGCGAATCCTGGATCTGAAGACTGGAACAGTGAAAAAGGAAGGTCAGCAGTCTTCCATGAGGATGTGTATGGGCTCCAGGAGGTCGTTTATTTGTCGGATGAGGTGAGTGTGAAGTTGGGATTGTGTTTTGGTAGGAATAACGAGCAGCTGAGGCTTCCATTCTGTCGAAGGCATTAACATTGAATTCCTAGAGCTACGTTCCTGGTCACAGTGGGTTATATTTAATTCTCAAGAACCTGATGTTTTGTCATAGTTCTAAATAGTCCTTACAGAAACAACACTTAATGTGGCATAGTTGATAGGTCCTGTGTTTCTCCTTAGTTCTGTATTATTACTTTATTTCACAGCTGTGCAATGCAGGAAAAATACTCACACAAAAAATAAAAATAAGTCTTTAAAAAAACTGGATAGAGAATCTGAGGAGATAGTTCAATACTAAGTGCTTTCTGTACAAACATGAGAAACTGAATTTAGTCCCCAAAACCCACAGAGAAAGCTGGACATGATCACTCTGCTCATCCCATTTCTGGAGAGGCCTAGCCAGATTGGTGAACCCAGGTCCTATTGAGAGACTCTGTCTCAAGCATCAAGGTTGAAGGGCCATCTGGAGTGATGGCTCAATGGTTAAGACCTTACCCCTCTCCCACTTACATGTATTCAGACTTCAGACTCAGTATCAACATGCTTCAGCATCTAAGTTTTGGGATTATGGGCATTTTTGTTGTTTTTCAGATTTAAAAAGATACCTTGTGCGTGCATGATATATGTGGATGTGGATTCATGTGTGTGGAGGTTGGAGTACAAATTGTTGGAGGTGGTTTCCTCGTTTGACCATGTGGGTTGAAATAATCCAATTCAGGTCCTAAGACTTGTGTGGCAAGTGCCTTTACCTGATAGGCCATCTCATTGGTTATGTTTTTCAGATTTTTGTTTGTTTGTTTTGGGAGGTTTGGTTTTGTTTTTTGTTTTTGAGATGGGGTTTCTGCCCTTGCTGTCCTGGAACTTGCTCTATAGACCAGACTGGCCTCGAACTCACAGAGAGCCTCCTGCGAGCTGGGATTAAAGGTGTGCATCATCAGGCCTGGTGTTCTTTTGTTAGTTTGGTTTTGGTTTTTTCAGACTTTTGAGATGGAATTTTATGTAACCCAGCTGCCTTGGAACTTCTGCTTTTCCTGCCTATACCTCCCAAGTGTTGGTGCCAAAAAACATTTATGAAAGTCAAAAAATAAGCTCAGATTGCATAGTGTAGCTAGACTATATCCTACTTAGAGAATGTTTAAGAGAAATGGAGTTAAAAAAATTTCCTGGCAAAGGTACAAAATTCAATATTATATAGTTTAATGGTTTAGGATTCAGATTACTATAGTTTGTTTTATTTTAGATGGGATCATATTATGTTGTCCTGGCTTATTTCAAACTCCTGGACTCAAGTTATCCTCTCATTTGAGTTTCCAAGTAGCTTGGGTGTAGAGAGAGTATACCATTGTACTTGACAGAATGTTAGTATTTAGAGACAGGGTCTCACTCGGTAGCCCTGGCTGGTCTGAAATTCGCTATATTGACCAGACTGGTATGAAACTCACAGAGATCTGCCTGCCTCTATGTTCCATGTGCTTTGTTTTGATCCATAGTATTCCATGGATTTGAATTCTAGTTTTGATATTATGAGACATGGTGCTTTGATTTCATCACTTAATACTGGAGATACTATTGTCAAATTTAAAAACGTTGGCATAAGGATTAGCTAGATTGATAGCATGAAAATACTTAGTATTAAATATTATGTATTTAAATACTTAGTATTAAATATTATGTATTTAATATTTAAGTCTATCTAAAATTTACCCATTCATTTCTTTATCCCCTGTTTTTATTTTGTTTTGTTTTGTTTTGAGAGTCTCTTGTAGCCTAGACTGGCCTCAAACTTACTGTACCTGAAGGTAGGTAGCCCCGAGCTCCTGATCTGCTCATCTCTGCCTCCCAAGTGCTGGCATTACATATATGTCACCATGCTTGGCTTCTCTAATTTTTAAAGAAGTGAAAAGCTAGGCATGGTGGCACAGGCCTTTGCCAGCCCTTAAAAGGCTGAGGCAGGAGGATTTCTATAAGGCCAGCATGGCCTATAGTGAGATCTTGTCTTAAAGGAAACAGTCAAGATCTGGTAGTGCATGCTTGTAATCCTAGAACCTTGGAGGCCAAGGGAGGAAGATCATCAGTTCTAGGCTAGCATAAACTACATAATAAGACTCTATCTCTAAAAAATAAAAAATAAAATGAAATAGAAAAGGGGACTTACTGCTCAGTGGTATTGTGCTTGCCTGGGATACACAAAAGGTTTTTTTTTTTTATTTTGTTTTTATTGTTATTCTGTTTGTTTGAATTTTCAGGCCAGAGTTTCTCTGCGTAGTCCTAGCTGTCCTGGAACTAGCTATGTAGACCAGGCTGACCTCAAACTCACAGAGATCCGCCTGCCTCTGCCTCCCGAGTGCTGGGGTTAAAGGTATGTGCTACTACTACCACCTGACTACGCAAAAGTCTTAATACTCTTAAAAACAAAAAAAACAACAACTTTTTTTTTTTTTAGGCCAGGCAGTGGTTGTGGCGCATGCCTTTAATCCCAGCACTCAGGAGGCAGAGGCAGGTGGATCTCTGTGAGTTCGAGGCCATCCTAATCTACAGAGCGAAGTTCCAGGACAGGCTCCAAAGCTACAGAGAAACCCTGTCTCAAAATGCCCCTCCCCCCAAAAAAAGTAAAATTTTTATGTCTTAATACTATTAAAAACAGTTTTTTAAAGTAGTCCACTAAATTGTTGGCATGGTGGTGCTTACCTGTAATCTCATCACTTGGCAGTTAAAGGCAGGCAGACAGGGAGTTTGAGGTCATGCTGTGCTGCACCAGAGCCTGTCTCAAAGGCAGAAAGCCACATAGTGGGGAGAGAGAACCAGCTCCCCTGCATTTTCTTCTGCCCTTTACATGTACACAGTGACCCACACACACACACCAAATAAATGAATTATATATGCAGACATGTGTGTACATGTGTGTTTTTAACTGGTCTGGAAATGTGACATCTTTGGTAGAGTGCTTGTCTAAATGCATGGAGCTATGGGTTCAATATCCAACACCATATAAAGTTGGTGTGTTGGTACGTGCTTGAAATACCATCACTCAGGTACTGGTGGCAGAAGGAAGGGTCAGTTGAAGGCACTCTCTGGGCCTCAGATATTTCCAGGCCAGCCTAGGCGTAAAGGTGCTGTCTCCAATTAAACAAAACAATAAAAATATTAGTTTGACAAGTCATCTTGACTTCCTTGTTGTTGCCAGTTTTATATATATAGTTGGATCTCTTTTCCTCCTGTTGTTATTTATCATAGCCCTGCAAATTTTATTTTTTTGTCTTTTAAAACAGGTGTGGCAATAGCTCCGTGGACCCAGTTTCCATGAATAGACTGAGCTTTTTGAGGAATAGATGCAGGTAAAATCCGTAGCAATGAAAACGGAGTTTACTTTAGCTAACCACTCTCTCTCTTTTACCTCACCGTTACTTACTTTCTAGCAGTGTTTCTCAGCTTATTTCTTATTTTTGTGTTTTCGAGACAAGGTTTCTCTGTGTAGCCCTAGCTTTCCTGGAACTCATTCTGTAGCCGAGGCTGGCCTTGACACAGAGATCCACCTGCCTCTGCCTCCGAGTTCTGCTATTATTTAAAGGTGTGTGTCCAGTTTCTGAACTTAAAAGCTTCTCTTGCTCATTCTGTTTAAGAAAGTTGCTTCTACTTTACCTATTTTTCTTGGTGTGTGTGTGTTTTTGTTATATGGTGTGGTTTACTTCAACAGGGGTTAAAAACTTGGCTATTTTGGGGGTGGGAAAGAGCAGGCACTGAGTAGATAGTTTTCTGGCTCTCCAGGAAGCTGAAGTTAAAGGTGCTTAGACTTTGTTTCCCTAAAATTTGGGCTTCTGGGGTGGCTCATCTGATAAAGGTAATTGCTGCCAACCCTGACAGCTGGCAGTCTCTGGAGCTCACATGGTAGAAGGAGAGAACTGACTTTCTTAGGTTGTCCTCTGACTTCCATGTACCCACACACACATACATACATACATACATACATACATAAACAAGCAAATGGGGCCAGCAAGATGGCTTAGCAGATAAAGTCACTTGCTTCAAAATGAGTTCAGTCCCCACAATCCACGAAAGGGAAGATGGAAAGACTCGATTCCACGGAGTTGTTTTCTCCTCTGACTGCCAACCTCCACAGGTTTTAGGTGGTATATAAAGCCCCACACTTATCATACATATATTAGTACTAATAAATGGATAAGTAAATAAGTGGATGAATGAATGCTTTTAGAGGATAAGTTGACTTCGTAGAACATGCCCCTGTTTCCTATCTCTTCCAGGAATGGCCTTGGCTCTGTGAAGGATGGAGAACCTCACTTTGTGGTGGTCCACTGCACAGGCTACATCAAGGCCTGGCCTCCAGCAGGTAAGAAAGTGATGTCACAATTTCTCTCTTGATGCACTTGCTTACTTAGAAAATTGTCAATTAAAAAGAAAAAAACTTTTGATGGGGTTTTTCTAGGCAGGGTTTCTCTATGTAACAGCTCTGGCTATCCTGGAACTCTCTTTGTAGACCAGGCTTACCTCAAACTCACAGAGATCCTCCTACCTCTGCCTCCTGAGTGCTTGGATTAAAGGTGTGTGCCACTACCTCCTGGCTTTTTTTTTCCTCCTGAATGTGTCATTGGAAACATTAAAAGAGGCTGGAAAGAGGGCTCAGCAGTTAAGAGCACTGACTACTCTTGCAGAAAACCTGGGTACAGTTCTCAGCACCCATATGTTGGGTTACAACCACCTACAACTCCAGTTTGTTGGGATCTGATACCCTCTTCTGTGCCCTGAACTCACACAGGCAAATACACAAAAATAAATAAATCTTTTAAAGTATATTGCTGATACTTACTCATTTTTTAGTATGTAATATCATATATAAAATAGATACTTATTGCTGCCCTGGAACTCCTGAGTTCAAGCAGTTTCCCCATTTCAACCTCTTCCTGGAATTGCCAAACATGAACAAACAAATAACCAAGTAACTATTATATTATAGTTTTAAAATGTCCAAATTCATAATATTTTACACTAAATACTATGTCTTTAAGCAGTTGTGGCAAAGAAACACTGGAATTTTATTTTACTTTAGACAGGGTCTCACTATGTAACCCTGGATATCGTGGAACTCTTTATATAGACCAAGCTAGCCTCAGACTCACACAGTTCCACCTGCCTTTGCCAGTTAAATGCTAGGATTAAAGGTGTGCCATCACTATGCCCAGCTGGAAACATTAGAATGTCATGCAATTAATTTGGGCAAACTGAAATGGGAGCGAGGCTTTGAGGAGTAAATGGAAAATTTCTTGATTGCAGTAATTTTAAAAGGGGACTTTTCTCTGGAAAGTGTAGATGTGAGTAGAATACTTTTATTTGAATTTGAGATTAAATCAGAGATGCGACAAAGGTGGTATTGTGTTCAGATCAGATTTTTGTTTTGTCTTAAGAAGGTGCTCTCCTACCTCGGCCTCACAAGTGTCAGGATTACAGACTTGATTTTCCATGCCTAGCAAAATCAGCTTTCCAAATCTTACCTTCTTTAGTACTTCCCCACTGGAAGAGTGTTATTGGGAAATGGGCATTTACAGAAGCCGGAAATGCAGAGAAAAGAGAGACAAGTTGGTTTTTTTTTTTTTAAATATATTTATTTATTCATTATGTATACAGTATTCTGTCTGTGTGTATGCCTGCAGGCCAGAAGAGGGCACCAGACCCCATTACAGATGGTTGTGAGCCACCATGTAGTTGCTGGGAATTGAACTCAGAACCTTTGGAAGAGCAGGCAATGCTCTTAACCTCTGAGCCATCTCTCCAGCCCCGAGAGACAAGTTTTAATTATTATTTATTTTATGTGTATGGGTGTTTTGTCTGCATGTATGTCTGGGCACCACCTGTTTGCCTGGTGCCCCCAAAGTCCAGAAAACAGTATAAGATCCCCTGGGATTGGAGTTACAGATGGTTTTGAGCTGCTGTGTGGGTGCTGGGAATTAAACCTGGGTCCTCTGGAAGAGCCAGTGATCTTAACCACTGAGCCTTTTCTCAACTCCTGTTTTTAAGAAAATTTTAAGAAAAAATTAACATTGTTTTGGAAAAACTGCATTTTCTTTCTGGCATTATGTCAGCAGTTTAACCTATGGTAAGTTACTTGATCTTTACATCAGTTTTCTTATCTATGATTTGGTATAATATATCCTGAAATGTATTGGTGAACCTTTAGTCACTTGCCTTTAAAGGGATTTGAGTTTGAGATCTCTGAGTCATTCTTGTTTTCCTTCACGAAGGTGTCTCCCTCCCAGACGATGACCCAGAGGCTGGCCAGGGGAGCAAATTCTGCCTAGTGGCCATTGGCAGGTTGCAGGCAAGTGTGAATCTTCACGTCTATGTTGCTTTCAGATCAGGAAATAAATCTTTGCAGGACTTATTTGTGTTAATTTTTTTTACTCTGTGAATACATAGAAAAAATCCATAAATCTAAAAATCTGAAAAAATATGTTATTTATAGTAAACCTTGCTTATTCTCAGATTTGCCAAAAGTCAAGAGCGTGAAAGAGGGTGTTGATACTGCTGCTGACACTTCCCTGTGTTGTGTATACCTCCAGCTTATAGATTCAAGGGATCCTTTCACGTTAGCCTTTGAGAGCTTGGAGTTTAGGAAGGCAACACCATGCCAGGCTTTGCTTGACTCTGTTATTTATAGTTTTGCAGTAGTTACTTTTCCATTTCTGGTTAATTTCTTTTGTCCCTGTGCAAAACAAGTACAATTGGTTTTCTTTTGTTATTACATGCCTTATGATAGATTTTAAAAAATATTTTTAAAGTTTATTTTTATTTTGTTTATGGGTATTTTGCTTGCATGTATGTGTACCACTTGACCTGCCATATGGGTGCTAGGACTTGTATAGGTGGACTTTTCTGTCCCACCGTCCAGTTCCCAAATAGCCACACAGATACTTAATATTAATTATAAATGCTTGACAAACATATATATAATTTATAACATTTTTATGTTATCTTTATTATTATGTATATAGTATTCTGCCTGCAAGCTTGCCTTCAGGCCAGAAGAGGGCACCAGATCTCATTACAGATGGTTGTGAGGCTTAGGCTCATTTCTTATAACATAACCCATCTCTATTAATCTATGTGCTGCCCCCGGGCTCGTTTACCTCATGTATATACTTCCCATTCTGCTCACTCTACAGTTTAATGGTGTCTCCTCTGACTCCACCCCTCTTATTTGTTTGTTTGTTTATTTGTCTGCATATATGTCTGAGGTTGTCAGCTACCTGGAACTAGAGTTACAGTCAATTGTGAGCTGCCATGTGGGTGCTGGGAATTGAACCTGGGTCCTCTGGAAGATCAGTGAGTGCTCTTCTAAGCCATCTCTCCAGCCCTTGACTCTGCCCATCTCCCTAGTTTCATCCTAGTCTGGCTCTCCTGCCCAATCTCTTACTGCCCAGCTATAGTCCAGTCAGCTTTTTATTAACCAGTAAGAGTAATTCATATTTACAGTATACAAAAATTGTTCCACAGCATTTCTCCCACTTTGTCTAATTACAAAGGAAAGTCGTTAACTTTTAACATAGTAAAATTATATACAACAAAGCAGTTATCAAGTAAGAATTGCAGTTACATTATCCTGTCCATTTGTATTTGGCAAAATTAGAGAAAATGCTCTGTTATTTATCTTATCTTTGTGAGTCTAAAGTTTTATACCTCATTTGCCTTTTGTCATAACTTAGGAAAACTTTAGGTCTTAGACTAACTTCAACAAAGACCTTAGAAGGGTGTAATATTACCTAGTGACGGGATATCTTGCTGCCTAGACAGTTGCCCAAAGTTCTTCTGTAATGTTGGGGCATCTACCTCTGGCCTACAGGCCTACTATGTCGTAATAGACATTTCTGGGAAACAGGGAATTTTGAAGTACTGTCCTACCCTGTCTTAGCAAGGTTTGACAGTCCCCTTTTTTTTGCACCTGCTTGTCCAGTTTGGACAGTATACTGTCAGCAAGGGCAGTTTCTTGCCCAAATTTTTGCTAGCTTTTTACCATAAGGGAAGCAGATTTCATATAGAGTTTCTTTGATGATTATCTTCTTTTGAAGTAAATCAGTGCTGCCAGAAGCATATGTGTCTCACCTGTCAGAAAAAAAGTCTCATATCATTAAAACATTTTAAATGCCATGTGTGGGCTGGAGAGATGGCTCAGAGGTTAAGAGTACTGACTGTTCTTCCAGAGGTTCTGAGTTCAAGTCCCAGCAACCACATGATGGCTCACAACCATCTGTAATGAGATCTGGTACCCTCTTCTGGCCTGCAGGGACACATGCAGGTAGAATGCTGTATACATAATTAAATAAATCTAAAAAAAACTTATAAAAAGAAAATAAATGCCATGTGCATTTACACATCTTTGAAGTGTTTGAAGACCTTCTGTCTATCTAAATATATCAAGTTTGATTATTATAGATGACTAACTACTAATATGTCTTTCATATCGTAAATAACTTTTAGGGACTAAAACTTTAAATTATGTTTTTAAATGTGCCACATAGGTACAATACCTTAAGATTAGAAGCATATATAAAGTATAATAAAAATAACCTTAATTTTTTTATCAATATACAAAAATCCATACCAATGTAAAATATTTGAGACTAGTGATTGTTCAAAAGTAGATTCGCTAATCCACCATTTTATTTAATCATTTTTATACTACATCCCCCCCTTTGTCCCTTCAGAAAGAGTTCCTCAATCTAATCCCCTTTGTTCAGCTTTGTTCCTGACCATGAACAACTACTTGTAACCAACTCCACTGAACAGTGACAAACATCCATAACCCAGTGAATGACCAAAAACCACCCATCCTACCTCTTAGGACTGTGGGCATCATATTCTCTAGATCGCTTCTTGTTGTCTGGGGCAATGGCATCTTTAGGGGACCCTGAGAAAATTAGTATATTCGTCAAGTCCTGGGAGAGCTAGCTATATTGTTTTTTTGTTTAGTGTCTGTGTGATGGAAAAGTGTAGAGCTTGCCTGAAGTCTTGGCTGAAGCAGTCTGTGAGGCTGGACTATCTTAGCTAGCAGCTTTGCAGTTGCTCTGATGCAGAATTTTGAGGAAACTGCAAGCAGAGGCATTCTGAGAGGCTGGATCACCTGGCCTAATTGTCTTCATTGGGGTCTGGTCCTGTTGTTTCTTTCTGAAAAATGCATAAACTTTTAAAGGTAACATATATCTGCATTAATACAAGTTTGGAATGTGTGGTGTGCACAAGTCATTTAAAGATAATTTTTTCTATGTTTTAGCAGGTAGAAGGCATCTATCAACTTTATAAGTCCATTTGGACTATATAACCAATATAATCTCTATCCATATCATATGAAAGGATGACATATAATTATAAGCCATGAGGACTCTGTAGCCAACAAGATTTATCATGTATCATCCAGTCTCAGAGCTGTTCCTATAGTAGAGGAATCAGCATATACGTCATCTGTCCTGTAGTCTTTCTTGGTTTCTTCTTTATGTCTACAGCCAAGATTTTCATGAGGTCTCCCCAATCAAATCTGATCTTTATTAATTTTGAAGAAAACCACAACTTATTTTCTTTGGAAACAAAGGCATAACCCCTTCCCCAGTGCAACACATTCCCCAACTTCCATTCAAATGCCAGTACATCTCTAACACACACACACACGTGCTGTTTTAATTCAGCAGTCCCTTCCATAATCCATTGTCTTAGCAGCTGCCATTCACTCATCAGCATTCATGAAATTCAACTGGGCAAAGCACCACACAGGATCCGGACGCTCTGTGTGTTTCCCATCCTTATGTAGCATTTTTCCTTTGTATTACTTTACTCTTTCTTTAAAGATTTTCCTATGATTGTTTATACCCAGTTTTTGCTGTATCTGTTTAAAGGTTTTCTAACCTGGGCTGCTTCACTGTGTACCCACAGCCTTCTCTGACCATGTGAGCCATCCTGAAACCTACCACATGGCTCTGCACTTGGAGCTGGCTGGCTCAGGCCTGCAGGCAGCAGTCAGGAACTACACCTCTGTACGATGTGGTCCACCTAAGAGACTGCAGACTAGGAAACTATCTGGCTTCTTGTTTGTGTGTGGAACTTTTCTTTTTAAGCTTTCTCAGGTCCTTTGTGGAAATATGTGCCCTGGCTTAGACTACAGATGTGACAAGTCTTTCTCTGTCCCACCAGCTCCCAGACAATGACAGAGACTTAGGCTTGTTTTTAGCTAGCTCTTGTGACTTAAACTAACCCATTTCGATTCAAGTGACCTGCCATATGGGTTCTAGAACTGAACTCAGGGTCTCAGGAAGAGCAGCCAGTGTCCTTAGCCATTCGACCATCTCTAGCACCTTGATTTTGATTCTTTTCCTGAACACAGTTAAGTTTCTCAGAAACTTGAGCCATTCTGAATAATGAACACAGGCCAACCAAATAACAGGAAGCTAGTTTAGAGTTGCATTCATATATTTTTTACTTTACTAACGTAGTAAAGAAAACATGTCTAGGAGTAGAGCTAGACTTTATGCGTCTCATTGGGATTGCCATTTTTGCATTTCTGGGGGAAACACTTATAAGTTCCTAAATCTGATAGTCTCATATCTACACAGATACTCATAAGAGGATTGAAAATGTTTTTTGTAAGTAATGGTATTATTTTGGCTCATTTTCTCTCTCCACTCTCAGGTAACTAGTTCTCCCAACTGTACAGACATGAGTAACATTTGCCAACCAACAGAGTTCATCTCCCGACACAACATTGAGGGGATATTCACTTTTGTAGATCATCGCTGTGTGGCTACTGTTGGCTACCAGCCACAGGTGAGAATGGCCTTACTACATTGTTGATACTGAGGCCTTTGCTTTCTGGTGCTAATGTTGAGGTTACATGGCTATGTAATTCCAGGGACGATCAAAATATAGCAGTCCAGTTCAGGAAAAGAGATGCTCCTACTTTACTAATAGCAAAATCTAGTCTCAACTTCCTACCAAGGCTGTCACCCCATATAAAGAAATATAGTTTATGAAACCACATGGAAATAGTGGGTATAAATGTATGCTTACTTTTTATTTCTGACATTGATACAGATAATTCTAAAATATTTATTTTAATTATTCTAGTATAGCTACTCTCATTTAGGTAATTTATATAATTACTAATGGAATAATAACCTATAATAAATGTAAGTGTAGCACTGGTTATTAGAATGTTCTCATGCAGTAGATCCGTTAACTCTCCCTGACATACATGACCTCTGTGATCTGTATGAGCCTGGCTATATATGTAAGAAATGGTCAGTGAAGAAGAAATCTTGAAAATGAAGAACTAAGTTGGAGGATTTACTTACATCTTGATCCACTGCCTTGTCAAGGCAGTGTGGCATTATTATAGGGAGGTGTTAACTTACTGATCTGCTCTGATGACGAGACCAGAAGAGAGCCTTTTTTTACATTCATGGTCATTGGATTTTCAGCAAAGGTGCTAAGGCATTTCAAGGGGAAAAGATGTAACAAGTAGAGTATATCAGATCTATATGCACCACTACCCCTAAAAATCATCATACCATAGACAAAAATCAACTCAGAGCCCTAAATGCTAAGAACTAAAGTTGGAAATAAGCTTTTAGAAGAAAGTCTTTGTGTGTGCACATAGGTAAGACCAGGGCACGGCCTTGGGGGTCACTGGGTACCATTTGTCTTTTTCATTTTGAGGCATGGCCTCTCATTGGCCTGGAACTTGAAAAGCTATCTAAGCTTTCTGGCCTCTGAACTCCCATAATTCACCTGTCTGTGGTTCCTCTGGAATTGTGAGAATGTACCACACTTGACTTGATTTTATTTTTTATTTTTGAAACAGTGTTTTACTATGCAGCCTTGACTCTATATATTTGGACCAGGCTGGCCTCAGGCTCAGAAATGTGCCTGCCTTTGCCACCTAGGTGCTTCGACTAAAGGCGTTCACTACCATGCCCAGCTATTTTTTATTTTATGTGTAGGTGTGAGTACCTGAATATGTATGTGTACCATGTATTTATCTGGTATCACAGAGGCCAGAAGAATGCCTTGGATTCCCTGAAACTGGGTTTATATGGTTAGAACACTTGTCTTGATAACAGCTACTTTATAGGAACTGTTGTTCAGGGATTGTAAATCCTACAACTTGGCTCTTCATTTTTAACTGCCTGGTGTATGATCTTTTCAAGAGCAAGAAGTGCTCTTAAGGGATGAGCCATTTCTTCTGTCTCACCTCAACTCCCCCACCTTTTTGAAAACACATATTCTAATGACCAAACTCAAGTCTTCATATTTACAAGGTATGAATGTTATCTATGTGTGGTTTTCTTTCCCTGTCTTTTCTTCCCCCCTGAGATAGGTTCACTCCCTACCTCAAACTGGAAATCTTTATGTCCTAGCCTCCTGAGATGCTGAGATTATAGGGTTTGCTTGACAAAAGTTTCTCCTCTAAACTGCTATCATTAAGACAGCCAGTAAGATGACTTTGTAAGAAAGGCCCTTTGTTTTCAGCTGCTGTTTGTGGCCTACAAATACATGCATACGTGCATGTCCTTAGAGCTCAGCTAGAGCTAAGAGGACAGCTTGCAGGAGCCAGTTCTCCACCATGTAGTCACCAGGCTTAGTGGCAAGTACTCATTGCACTGTCTCACTGGCTCTGCTTCTGTCTTCTGTTTGTTTCCTTTTCCCCCTCCACACACCTGTTTATAGTAGGATAAAGGCAAGAAATAACATTGACATCTCTAGCTGACAGGAAGATGTACATTTTACTTTTCTCTCTCCTCCTAGGAGCTCTTAGGAAAGAATATTGTAGAGTTTTGTCATCCTGAAGATCAACAGCTTCTAAGAGACAGCTTTCAACAGGTAACATTTTTCCTGGTTTGGGTCTGAGTACATATTTTGCTCAATTCCTTATGTTTGTTCTAGATACTTACTGGTCAGTGTTCATTTGAGCACTGTGGTGGATACTATAGTTTATACTGAGCTTATATTCTAAGAAATAGAAAATGATAATACTTTGAAACTAGATAAAAATCCAAGGTGTTTCTGCTGGGCTTTAGCTACTTACTATCTTCTACTCGACTAACTGTATCCAAGAAATTATCTTCAAAGCACTTCAAGTATTACTTGTTTCACTGACCTTAGATCATAGCAGGAAAGTTTCCTCAGAATTCTTTTATAGATAACTGAAGGTTAACTCACTTGTAACTAATTGTAATTTTCAGGCCTAAGCTCGTGAAAATAGTGGACTTGGCTTTGGATAACTATTCTTTATATTTTACAAGTTAATCAAGTCTCTGTAGTGATCTTACTGATACAGTGGCTATACTAATACTTAGAGGTAGGAGTTTGTGGGAAGGTAAATAAGGTAATGCCGTAAGGCACATACAGCCCAGCATTTGATACATAAAAAATAAATATTAATTGCTAATATGCTGTTATTAGAAATGGAGGACTAAAAGATTGTCTTCTGTTCTGTAAGAGCAGGAACTAAAACTCTAGCAAAACTAAGGCTTCCTGTGTGTAGGGTTTTATGGAAACCAAAATTCTCAAGTTTTGAGAAGAATAGCTGGGATTGGTAAATAATGTGTAAAATGTATTTGGTGTCACCAAACTGGAATTCCTGGTATAGACTTACAAAGCCAGTTCATCTAGTGTGTCTGCAGAAAAGGAAACATGGAGACAGTCTCTTCTGTGCTCCCCCTGACTGTACAGTCATGCAGTCTGCAGCTCTGGGAAGATACTTGATAGATATATATATCCCCTTAATCTCCTCTTCCTCTTGTTTGACCATTGAAAAAGACTGGTGCTTTAAGGACAACAACACAAGAGTCCTGAGGTTGCAAAAGTGGGATGATTATTACTTTTCTTTAAGTCCACTGATGGATGAAAACCCTTTCAGGTGGTGAAATTAAAAGGCCAGGTGCTATCTGTCATGTTCCGATTCCGATCTAAGAACCGAGAATGGCTCTGGATGAGAACCAGCTCATTTACGTTCCAAAACCCTTATTCAGATGAAATTGAGTATATTATCTGTACCAACACCAATGTGAAGTACGTACTCTTCTATCTTTTTCTCATGTTGGGTTATTCCTCCTGTGGCCACCCCTGGGGTGGGGTGGAGTGGGGTGGGGGTGGGAGAGAGCAAGTCTTAACCTTATGGCCTTCTCGTCAGTCTTGATTTATAAAATACCATTAGTTTGAGAGTCCTCACTTAACAGCTTTCTATAGAATTTGATATAGTTGAGGCAGAGAGTAAGGTAGATTCTGTTTGCTGTTGACAGCCATTTAGTAATTGGTGTGTATCACTCTGGCATGGAATAGAACATGTATGAACATTAGAAGACAGCTTGTGGGAGTAGTCCTCTCCTTTCACCAAGTGGGGCCCAAGCGTGAACCTATGTTGTCAGCCTGGGAGCAAGCACCTTTTCCCACCAAACCATCTACTGGCTCACGGTAGAGGAAGTTTTAATAAGCAGCAGTAGTTCATGCTATGGACAGTGCCCATACCTACTGCTGACGCAGTCTACTCAGTGAACTTCTTTTCTTTCTGTAAGAGGGTGCAAATAAAACAGTAATTTAAAGATTAGTTCTTGAGATGGAAAGATTCTTATTTCAATTTTCTAGGTTTTATTTTAGTAATAGTTTTATTTTCCTTTATTAGTTAATTTACTTATTGTGCTGCTAATGGTCAAACCAAGGGATTTGCAGAAAGTAGGCAAACTCCTGTACCACTGAACTGTTTCCTCAGGATTTTTTGGAAGGGTTTTGTATTTGTTTTTAAGTCAGGGTCTTGGTGTGTAGTCCTGGCTGGTCTGGAATTTGACTTGTCGGCCAGGCTGGCCTTGCATTCACAGATAGCTACCTCCCTCCCTGAATGCCGGAGTTAAAGGTGTGCTCCACTTGCCTCCATGATTTTGTTTTAGCCACCAGTGTTCTAGTCTAGGAAGATTTTTATCTAGGACAAAGTTGGGCAGACTTTTCTGTGAAGGACAGGACGATAAATGCTTCAGCCTTGTCTGGACCATATGTTCTTTACTGCAGCTGCCCAGCTCTGCTGTTGTGAAACGGACACAGAAATAACATGGCTGTCTCCTGGAATTTTCATATATAAAACAGGCAACGGATTAAAGTTGATCCATGAGTCAGGTCTTGTTGCAGAGCATGGTCGCATCACACAATTTTATTAATTTTTGTTCCTTTCTCTGAACTTGCTTTTTGTTGTTGTTGGTCTTGTCTGGTTTTGTTTGGTTTTTTGAGACAAGGCTTCTTCTCTATGTAGTCCTGAATGATCTGAAGCTCATTAAGTAGACCAGGCTGGACCTGAACTCACAGCAATCTCTATTCTTCTGCCCCATGAGTTCTAGGATTTCAGGTATGCAACACCATGCCAAGCCTTCAGTTTTGAGTGTTTTGCCTCCATGTATCTTTCTGCACTATGTATGTGTCTGATGTCTTCAGAGGTCAGAAGGGGATCAAATCCCTTGGAACTAGAGTTGGAGATAGTTGTGAGAAGCCACATGAGTCCTGGGAACTGAACCTGGATCCTTTGCAAGAACAGGAAGTGCTCTCAACCAACTGAGCCATCTCTCCAGCCCCTAGCTCTCAGGGTTTTAAAACATTTTCTTTAACTACATTGCACAGGCCATATATCCCACCCATGACACAGGAACTGTTTTTAGTTTATTATATAGTCATGTAACTCGTAGAACCATCTATTTTCAGAACATTTTCATCCCTACCCACTAAAATCGTCCATTCTCCCCTTTCCTCTAAACTCTTAATTCACTATGTCTATAAACCTGCTTATTTTAGAGATATGTAAATCACAGGATAGTTCCTTTGTGAGTGGTCTCACTGTTTCCTGGGTCAACCATGTGATATTGTTAGTACCTCATTTTATTGTTGGTGCTGTGAATTAATGCTCCATTTTATGAATATAGCATTTTTTTGTTTTAAAGTTGCATACACTATATTCTGATCACACTTCCCCCCTCTCCTAGTTCTTTCCACCTATCTAACTCCATACCCTTTCTTTCCTTTCTCTTAATGCATGCGTGCGCGCGCGCGCATACACACACACACACACACACACACACACACCTACCCCCACACAAGCAGAAATAAAAACGTATATCAAAAAACAAATAAGGCAAATAAAAAATGCCCAAACAGAGCAATATGAGACAAAAAGTCTACAAAAATACCACTGAGTACACTTGATGTTGGCCAGCCGCTCATAGACAGGATCCTACTTTGAAGAGAAGTGTGGTTAATACACCTAATGAGATTCCATTGGAGAAAATTAATTTTTCTTTTGCAAGTGAGTATCAGTTCCAGATAGCTTTTTGTCAGGTGTAATGTACTAAATAAACATGGAGAGCCCATTCTCTTTATCAGTTGATGGACACTGGGTTATTTCTACTATTCGGCTATTCAGGATGAAGCATAAACATTCCTATGCAAGTTTTGTGTAGCATAGGAATGCTACATAGGCCTCAAACTTATAGAAATCCCCCTGCCTCTGCAGACCTCCAAGTGCTAGGATTAAAGTTGAGCACTACCGTGCCTGGCTTGAACTTATTTTTTAAAGATCAGATTGTTAACAAGGTATAGTGGTACTCAGGCGGATCTCTGTGAGTTTGAGGCCAGCCCAGTCTACTTAGAACAGTGGTTTTCAACCTGTGGGTCATGACCCCTAGGGTCAAATGACCCATTCATAGGGGTTACATATTGGATATTTACATTACAATTTAACTGTAGCAAAATTACAATTATGAAGTAGCAACAAAAATAATTTTATGATTGAGGCCACCACAACATGAGGAACTGTAATAAAGGGTCTTAACATTAGGAAGATTGAGAACCACTGACCTAGAGAGTTCCAGTACAGTCAGGGTTTCATAGAGATACTCTGTCTTAAAAAAGCAAAAAGATCAAATTGTTTTAATGTATTCATTCATTTTAGTTCTTACAATTTTAAAAACTTGGGATATGGGCACACACATATTCACAATACCCAGGAATCAAATAGCTTGAAGGAGTTAGAAAACAAACCTGCTGGGTGGGACTATAGCTCCGTTGGTAGAGTGCCTGTCTAGCATGCATGTGACCCTGAGTTTGATCCCCAGCACCTCATAAACTGAATGTGATGGTGCATGTTTGTAATCTCTGTCCTTGGAGGTCGAGGCAGGTGATCAGAAACTAAGTCACCATACTTGTGAGTTTACGCTAGCCCGGGCTGTCTGAAGCTGTTTCAGAACAACAAATAAAAACAGGATAAACCCTTGTTTCTTAGACATGTTTCAGTTAGTACCATGTAGTCCATAACATACGTCTTTTTGCTGAAACCAAGGTCATAGGCTACCTATGGGACTGCACTTTGTAAAGATCTGTTAGTGTTGCCTCCCATTACAGGTCAGTATGTGGAATTTATTATATGAGTCATTCCTTGTTTCCCCTTTCTGTGTTCTTGTCTACTTTATTTTCTTAGGAACACTAGCCAGGAACCACGGCCTACACTTTCTAACACAATTCAGAGGTCACAGCTAGGTCCGACAACCAGTTTATCCCTAGAGATGGGTACAGGGCAGCTGGCATCCAGGTAAGAAATGGTGAAGTAATTATGTTTTGAGCAGTCACTAGCCAGAAAATAGTGATGTGCAATCATATTTTTACTGTTGCTTTATGTGTTTTATGTTTTTAAAGGCCTTTTCTCCAAATTCTTTGTCAAAAATCTTTTTTCCCTATTGCTTTCCCACACTGACATTTGACTTAACAGGCAGCAGCAGCAACAACAGCAGCAGCAGCAGCAAGCAGAATTGGATATGGTACCAGGAAGAGATGGGCTAGCCAGCTATAACCATTCCCAGGTGTGTGTATGTGTGTGTGTGTTTTTCTTTTAAGAGGAAAGTGGACTTTTTTTTTTTTGGATTTTCGAGACAGGGTGGGTTTCTCCGTAGCTTTTGGTAAGTGAACATTTTTTAAAAATGTATCTCGAGGCTGGCAGGATGTCTTAGCAGTTAAGGGAGTTAGCCACTTTTGCAGAAGACCCAAGTTCAGTTCTTAGTACCTACAGTGGGTGAGGTGACTCATAACCACCCGTAACTTTAGCTCCAGGTCTGATGCCTCTGACCTCAGGAGGCACTGTATTCATGTGTGTATGTGTATACAAACATGCATAATTAAAAAAGATAAAAAAAAAATTGCCGGGCAGTGGTGGTGCACACTTTTAATCCTAGCACTTAGGAGGCAGAGGCAGGCCGATCTCTGAGTTCAAGGCCAGCCTGGTCTATAGAGCAAGTTCCAGATTCCAAAGCTACAGAGAAACCCTGTCTCAGTAAAATAAAATAAAATAAAATAAAATAAATCCTAAAAACTCCCAGTATCAGTGAGAATATGAAGTTGAATGCTATTGAATTGCTACATTAACCATTTATTGATTGTTTTCATTATTTTATACCCTAGGTTTCTGTCCAGCCTGTGGCAACTACAGGAGCAGAACACAGCAAGCCCCTTGAAAAGTCAGATGGTCTCTTTGCCCAGGACAGGGATCCAAGGTTTTCAGAAATCTATCCCAACATCAGTGCAGGTACAGCTTTCTTCTGCAGATTCCTTTTACAGTCTGATTTTGTCATCACTGATGGGACTGCTACTGCCCAATCAGTAGTCTTCCAGCATACTTCCACCTAAATTATGTACTTCTTAGTAAATAGGAATTTATTAAACTATATACTACAGCCCCTTGATGGCCCTCCCCCAACTCCTTTTGGTCCACAGATCAGAGTAAAGGCATCTCCTCCAGCACTGCCCCTGCCACCCAACAGCTATTCTCCCAGGGCAGCTCATTCCCTCCTACCCCCCGGCCGGCAGAGAACTTCAGGTGAGCCCATATGTGTGTGCTGCTTGACAGGGCTCTGCAGGATTCAGTTGGTGAATCCGCATGTCATTCTTCCCTTGCTTTCTCTGGTCGTTTCAGACAAAGCAGTAGAACTCACTGGACCTAGGGTGAGACAAAGGAGCTGCTTTTTCCGCCTATTCCTTGCACCTGTCCTATTGCCTTGTAGCTCTCTGTGTGGTCAGTGTGTGCTGTCAGTCTTTCTTCATGGTTTTCAGATTTATCAGGTTTTCCTTAACTCCAAGGGAATCAGAGGGATCTAGGGCTAGAATTTGGTTGTCCTTTGTTTCATAGCTTCCTTGATAGGGTTCCCTTTTAATCTTTTACCTGTCTGTTTGTTCCTAGGAATAGTGGTCTGAGCCCTCCTGTGACCATTGTCCAGCCGTCATCTTCTGCAGGGCAGATGTTGGCCCAGATTTCTCGTCACTCCAACCCTACCCAGGGAGCAGCTCCAACTTGGACCCCTAGTACCCGGCCAGGCTTCTCTGCCCAGGTATGTTGTTTTTGTTTGTTGGGGTCTTTTTTTCCCTATAAGTGAATTTATTATTGTCGTCATAGACACCTCCTCTCCGATCCCTCTCTTGATCTTACTTATAATGTTCATGTTTGTTGAGAGCAACCACATGATTATAATACCAAAGATTTAAAAAAAAAAATCTTCTTAGTACCTATGGTTTTCACATTTTCACCTTAAGTCAGAACAGTTTAAACAACTGTGATTTCAGGCTTGTTTAGAGCAAATTCAAAGAGTTTGTCTTCATTTAAGACTGTGTAATACAGTACCAAAGTAGAGAATTAGTAATTGTCTTTATTTAGGACTGTGTAATACAGTACCAAAGTAGAAAATTAGTAATTGTCTTCATTTAGGACTGTGTACACAGTACCAAAGTAGAAAATTAGTAATTATATTCATCGACTGTTTATTTGTGAAAATAGTGAAAATTTTGGCATTGTATCCATGTATATAACATATAGTGAATATATTAGGCTTATTTCTCTTGTATAAATAATATTTAGAAAAGTAAAAAAATGAAAACAAGCCAGGCTTCAGAATTGTGTAAAAATACACAGAAGGTGATCCATTTCTCTATTGTTCAGGATGAGCATTGAGGTTGAAGACAGTTACTGCCATAGTTTTCAGGGCTTTGATATAATCAAGCATACATATATTGTCTCCCTCGGAGTTATTTTTAAAATTGTGGTATTTACAAATGTTTGCAGAAATTATGATTCCACTCTGGTGGTGGCACACACCTTTAACCATAGCATATAGGAGGCAGAGGCAGGAGGATCTCCGTGAGTTCAAGGCCAGCCTGGTCTACAGAGTGAGTTACAGGATAGCCAGGGCTGTACAGAGAAACCCTTAAAAACAACAAAAAAAGAAGAAATTATGATTCCATAAAAAATATTGAGACAATGACTAGTTTCTCAGTCAATAAACAGTACACTGGGTGTGACAGTGCACAGCTTCAGTCCCTACACACAAGACCTGCCTGGGCCACATAGCGAGGTAAACTGTTTCAAAAAAGGAAGAACAAAAACAAATGCAAAGGAAAAAGCAGGAAGTTGTTGTCCAAAGAAAGTATCAGCCATGAGTCTCCTGGTGAGCTTAGTAATGAGGCTTCATCTTTTTCCAGTTTCTTTTTCCTTTTCTTTTTGAAGCAGATCTAGAGTTTTTATTAAAAAATTCAAGAGCAAAAGAAAGGCACTCAGAAAGATATAACTGAGCGTGAGTGTGAACTCCCTAAGAGAGCCATCATCACATTGTCCTCTAATACACATATATTCCTGTCAGAAGGAAAAGGTCACTCTTTTAGGAACAGAATCTGGAAGAGATGGAATGCAGACTGAGGACAATGATGCCCTGGTTTTCATTTCTAAAACTCTACTGGGGACTGGGGAGATGACTCTGTGGTAAAGTGCCTGATGGTAATCCCCAAGACCCACACGGTGGAAAAGAGAACCAACTCCTGCATGTTATCTCCTAACGTCTAGGCTCATGCATGCATGTGTTCACATGTGTGTGCGTGCTCATGCACTCAAAATGTTTAAAAAGAAAACAAAGTAAATCAGGTGTGATAGAACACACCTGTATTCCCAGCACTGGGAAAGTGGAGACGGATCCCTAGAACTTCCTAGCCAATTAGTCAAGCCAGATGGAGAAGTTTCAGGGTCATTGAGAGGCCCAGTCTCATAAAATAAGGTGGAACCTGGTGGTGGTGGTGCACATCTTTAATCCCAGCACTTGAGAGGCAGAGGCAGGTGAATCTCTGTGAGTTGCAGGCCAGCCTGGTTTACAGAGAGGAACCTTGCCTCAAAAAACAACACAAAATGTAAGGTAGAGGGCAGTAAAGGAAGACACGTAACATTGGCATCTGGCGTCTATACATGTGAGTACATGCACCCGCCTACCCACAGATGTACATGACATTTTCTTTCTTTCTTTTTTTTTTTTTTTTGGTTTTTCGAGACAGGGTTTCTCTGTGGTTTTGGAGCCTATCCTGGAACTAGCTTTGTAGAGCAGGCTGGTCTCGAACTCACAGAGATCCGCCTGCCTCTGCCTCCCGAGTGCTGGGATTAAAGGCGTGCGCCACCACCGCCCCGCCCGGCCCACAGATGTACATGAACACACATAGGGTGGAGAACAACTGAAGTCACATTGATCTCTGGCTGCTATGTTTGTGCACACACACTTGCACATATATGTTAAACACATGTGCAATTTATAACATGCTTTCTGTTGATTCTTAAATTTTTATGAGCTCATTATATATAAGAACGGGTTTGTTAAAATGCCTTCATGTATGTGTATAATGTATTTTGACCATGACCTCTTGTTCTACTCTAGACTGATACCTCTTCCTCTTATCAATCAGTCCCTATTCTATTTTAATGTCTTTTTTCCCCTTATTTCTTGACCCAGTGAGCTTAGCTAATTATTATAATTTTTATTAAACCTGTAATTCTTTGCTTTTTGTACTTTTAGTTACCTAAAGAAAATAGTTTTAGGAGGAGCTGGGAGTAAATCAGAAGTCCACAGGTAGAGCCGGGTGATGAGCTGTGTCTGGAATCCAGTGGTTGATGAGCATTGATGCAGAAATGAAGTGCACAGGTTTCCCTTGTTCTGACCTCCTTTTCTCTACCCGGTGCCCACCCAGGCTACAGCCAAGACTCGTTCTTCCCAATTTGGTGTGAGCAACTTTCAGACTTCCTCCTCCTTCAGTGCTATGTCTCTCCCGGGTGCTCCCACGGCCTCCCAGGGTACTGCAGCCTACCCTGCTCTCACCAACCGTGCATCCAACTTCCGTAAGTTCAGATGAGAGGGAAGATAACAAGAAAACCAAACTACTAAAGAAGGAGGATTTGGTGGTTAGAATTGTTTCCCTGTGTCCTTGATGTGCTGACCTAGTTATAAAGGAAATGCGAATTCCCAGTCTGTTTGAAATTAAAAACCTTGCAGAGAGGATGTTGAAATGGCCCATTGGGTGAAGTGCTTGACTCACAAGCCTGAGTACCTGAGTTAGTCCCCAGAGCCCGTGTACAGGAGCAAGCTGACTCCACTGTGCTGTCTTGGGACCATCGGGAGCCACAGCACATATGCTCACATGCACCAAACACAAAACAGTAATAAACTTTTAAAACCTTTATAAAAAGTTGCTGTAGGAAAACTATCTCAACACTTGCAGTAAAAACCACATGAGTTATTGTAAAATTTACAACACTAGTACTACAAAACCCACATATACTTAATGGAATGCATATTTAAATTAACAGAATTCTTTAGAAATGCTGTCTCGAGAATGAAACTTAATTTGAAACTGGGCTTTGAAGTAGAGGCATTGGTTAGCAGCTAGACGGGCAGAAGGTATCATACATAAAATTACTAAGTTTTATGTAGCTGTGTGCTGGTTTCTCTCCTCCATTGAAATTAATAGATTCAAGCTGTTTATCCTTAACTACATTTCTAGCTCCTGAGAGTGGACAGACTTCAGGACAGTTCCAGACCCGGACAGCAGAGGGTGTGGGTGTCTGGCCACAGTGGCAGAGCCAGCAGCCCCATCATCGGTCCAGTTCCAACGAGCAACATGTTCAGCCAGCGTCAGCACAGCCATCTAGCCAGCCTGAGGTCTTCCAGGTGAGTAGATACATACTTCGGAGAGAGAGTGAGTCAGGGAGGAGAGATAGAGGGGAGCATGCATGGTACTGATTGGGGTCGTACGAGGAGATGAGCAGAAGGGAAGACAGAAAACTACGGGTGAATGTCAGTAATTGTCATGATCATTATGAACACACTCGTTCAAACCAGAATTACTGATGTGAAGCACTGTGTAAAGATAATGAAGGAAGTTATTTTATTTCATGTACAGAGATCTACATCTCAAAGTAGCTTTGGATTTAAATAGGATAATTTAAAAGTACACTACATAGAACATACTGATTATAGCCATAAATATCTGTTTTCCCCTGAGGGGTGCTATAAGATTGAATGGGATAATCTTAGGCAGAGAATAAACTAGTCAAAAACACAGCAAAAAGAAGACAAAATAGGGTTTGGTCGGAAACAAATGTGATGAGATATATTTCAGACATGACTGTAGGGGTTAAGTGAAATGTTGGCATGCATATTTTCTTCCTTTGAAAATATCAACTGGGGCTGGAGACATGACTTAGCTGTAAAGGGCACTGGCTGCTCTTCCAGGAGGCCTGGGTTCAATTCCCAGCACCCACATGGCGCCTCACCACTGTCTGTACCTCCAGCACCTTCACACAGACACACATGCAGACAAACACCAGTGCACAGAAAAAATTAGAAAAGAAAAAATATCAAGGCCTAGAAACAAGAAAAATAAAGGAACTATAGGAGGAAGATGGAGACAGGACTAGGAAAAAGGCTGTGAGCCGAGGCTTCTGCAGGTCAAGAATGGTGGGCAGGGAATGTTGAGGGGACACAATAAAAGTAAGGGTGTGTGACCCAAATCTAATCTTTTTCTTCATTAGGAAATGTTGTCCATGCTGGGAGACCAGAGCAACAGCTACAACAATGAAGAATTTCCTGATCTAACTATGTTTCCGCCCTTTTCAGAATAGAACTATTGGGGTGAGGATAAGGGCGGGGGAAATCACTGTTTGTTTTTAAAAGCAAATCTTTTGTAAACAGAATAAAAGTTCCTCTCCCTTCCCTTCCCTCACCCCTGATATGTACCCCCCTTCACCCCTTGACTCTGAAGTAACATTTATAGAAGAAATGAAATGAGTTCCCAGGCATTTAGGGTCCTCTGAAAATCTGAAGACAGGTGAGGTTGGAAGTCGTGTCCTCACGTCTTCTTACCAGAAGTGGCACAGAAGTGGTGTTTGCCTGAGTCAAGGGGCAGAATAGAAGAACCTGACAGCACTAATTGCCTTGGAGACTGTGGCTTGTTTTGAATACAAACTCTGAATAGAATGGAGGAGAGGAGAAAGAAACATCCTCATAACCAAGGATCATGAAAATTCATAGGTATATGTGGCGCTTTAGGAGGTGAACAATCCCCTGGAAAGGAACGAGAGAGAGAGAGAGAGAGAGAGAGAGAGAGAGAGAGAGACTGTGTGTGTGTGTGTGTGTGTATCTGAGCCCCTCTGTCGTGTCCTTCCTCCCTGTTAGGGAGTATATGCAAAGTTTGTCCCAGATGTTCTTTGTCTTTCTGCTTGGTCTTCAAAGAGTCCTAAAAAGGTAATTTTTCTAGGTATTTTTGTGTTTAGTATTGCAGCCAAAGAGTATTTAAATGAAGTCTTTGCTGCACTTAAACCGATGCCCAGCCAAAATGGAACTTTAGGCCAATGTACAGTCTTCTGTTTATACAGAATACATTAATGATCAAGCTGGATTACTCCTCTTTGGTGCTCTCAATTTATGTGGAAGATCTGCAGATCAAAATAGGCTGGCCAGATAAACACTGTCAGAAATCTCAGACTTGCCCATAAGTTAATGCTGCATTTTTCTGTCAGAGTCACACGTGTTCTGGAGAGGTTATTTCTGCATGGAAGCTCAGCTTGTTGGATCAGCTATCTGAGTGACGAGGGTATAAACCAAATAGCCCTGCTACATACTAGCCTCTCCTTCCTTGTCAGAAGCACGTGTAGGTCTTCCTGAAGTCTGCCCTTTGCTCCCTGTCCAAACCTGGATTTGGGCTTTGCTTTGAAATAAATGTGAGTCGATGTGTTGTTAGTCCGGACTCAAATCCGCACAGGGTCACTTGATAATCACAGCCATAGAAACGCAGATACAAGCTACTGCCTTCACCCTTTCCTGTCCTCAGGTGCGTCTCACGTATCAGTAGCCTTTTTCTTTCTTCTTTTTACTGACTCCTGTCAGTATATAAGTGAAAGATTAAACTAATACAGAAAAGATGTATTAAGTGTATTCATAGGGTAAGGAGCCTGGATGGAGAGGCTCATGGCGAGGCTGAGGAATTGTTGTGTACTAAGTTTCCCTCCGTTTCTCTTCAGTCTGGTGCCAGGCAATAGAGTGGAAAAGGAGGCTATTTTTTTATTCTATATGCACACATACAGTATCATATATATTTATATCACAATTTACAGAACCAAAAAGTTGAGTTTCCAATGAAATGTTTGTTTTTTAATAATCAGTTTGTTTTTAAATGTGATCTGAACTATATAATGTACAGTTATTACAGGGCTTTTGAAGAAGGGGCGGGAGGGAGAAGCTACTCTGAGGGTTTTGTTCTGCTTTTCCTTCAGGGTTTTATTTTTGATTGTTTTTTCTTGTTAGCCATCTGTGCTAAGCCTTACAGTGGCAAAAATAATGACATGTAGCAAAGATTTTAAAACAAAGTATTTTTCTTTTATAAAAAAGTTTATTGTGTTGTGTGATGTTGTTTGCGGCTTCATTATCCCCTTCCAGCTCATAAATAACAGACATGCGCAACTAAAAGAATCCCTAATTGGGCTCCAGACACATAAGCATAAAGCATAGTTGAGTTGATTTCGGGAATTAGAGATCATAGGGCCCTGATCACTCAGTCCCCTGTTCCTCACTTACCTCCTGATCCTGACACATTGTGAGTAATGTCAGTAGTCACACTCTGGGAGTGGGGGCTGTCTAGTCTCTTAGAAGTTGCTGGGAAGAGCTCTTGGAACTTGAAGCCACTGGGGGACATCTGGATGTCTTTTCCCCCGTGTGTCCTCCCAATTAGAAGGTGGTTAGAGAAATGAGGGAATTGTCAATGATAAACTTTGAATATGGATCTGGGTTCCCTGTACATTCATGGTTTGCCTTGAAATCCAAAGGCAAACCTGGGCTCTGGAATTGGGGTCTATGTGAGGAATCCAGCTTGAAACGGAATCTAGATTTGTGGTAATAACCTTTTTATTCCAGGATCCCTCATTTTCTAATTTCTCACATCTGTTTATGGAAAGAAGTGGAGTTTAGGGTTATGGTTGGCTGAGCTAGAGTCTTATGATCTGCCACATGCATGGGTTTTGGGGAAGCATTTGGAGAAGGTCTTGTGACTGGGTCTAATTGGGGTTTTAATAATTGAGATGCAGTGCTCATCAGATCCTCCCATCTCAGAGTTTACGGTAGAGGCACATGTGTGTCTGTCAGCCTGTTAATGCTGATTCCGGTGCTGTAAATAATTAGGTGCTACATTGGGTTGCTTTCTTAGTGCTGTGGCTGCTGAGCCCTGACCTCATACTGTTTGGCAAGCACACCACCACTGAGTTCCTCTTTTTTTAACTTTTCAGTTTTCGACAGGATCTAGGGTGGGCTTGAACTTGTGAGTCTGCTCTTATTTATTTAGAGACAGCATCTCACTGTATAACCCTGGCTGACTTCAGACTCACTCTGTAGACTGGCCTGGCCTGACCTCACAGAGAATCTGTGGCAGGGGGAAAGGTGTGCCCACAGCCAGCTTTGATTTTACTTCAGCTTCTCAGTGTGTGCACCACCACTTGCACTCAACTTCCTGACCGCTCCTACCCCATTTCACACTGACTTTCTGCACAGCCATGTGGGTTAGAGCAGCTGCTCCCTCCCAGAAGCAGTAACACTAGCCAGGAGTCACAAATTTTTTTAAATGTTTAAATTGGAGCCTTATATGCCACATATTACTCTTGTCTAGCCTTTGGTGTCCCCCTTCCCCTCCGTGTGTGCTCACACACTGCTCGGTGCCTGCTGTCATCTCAGAAGATCTGACACAAAGTTGAAAATGGTTCAGGGAAAGGGGTTTGGTCCATGACTGCAAGGGTAGAAAAAGATGGAATTCTCCAAGAAGACATTTGAGGAAGGATGGAGACAGCTGGGGCTGTCCTTTTATTTCCTCTCCAAAGCCTCAGTTTGAATAATGTGCTGTCTTATTTTCCCCCCAAAGACAGTCAGATGAAGCAGAACATTTAGCAGCTCTCAGGAACATTGTGCAAATGCGTGTCCATCCTTCCACCCTAACCCCCCTTTCTCATCCTATCCCTGCCTCCCTCCCTTATCCAAATTTTCCAGCCACAGCTGGAGTTGACTTCCGCAATCCTGATGGATAAATGTAGCACCCTTAGTCTTCTGCTCACAGTAACCACACTTCCTGTCTGAAAGGAGCCTAGACAACAGATTCTCAGCCACAGGTAATGATCTTTTAGCTTCTTATTCCTACCAGTTAGGTTCTCTTAAGAAGAGAAAGATATAGTGAGTTGGGGATCAAATAACTGAAGTTCCCTGAATAAAAAACATAATCCTTTCTCAGTTCATTTTCTGGCTAAATGAAATCTGTCTGGAAATCTTTAGGATTCTGTGTGTGATTGTGTATGTGAATGAATATGTGGTTGTTGGTAAAAGCGAAGGAGGATTGTGAGCTTGCCTCAAAAGTGGATTTTTTTCTGGAGTTCTGCTTAACTACAGGGTTAACTGGTTCCTGAGGAAGAGGAATAGTTAACAGCCACGTCCAAGCCTGTAACATTCCAGTCACTAAATGTTCTGCTGCATATTGTGTTGCTTTTGCAAAGAGCACATAAAAGTGTAGTCAGTGTTGCACAAGTTGTATTTGTTGTACTGGAGACAGGGAATGGTTTTTAAATTAAGTGTGTGCAGTTAAGCCAACGCAAGAAGTTAATGAAGTCAGAGCAAATTCCTAAAAAGCTGTGAACTGTGACCTTGGTTATTACAGAATATTGTCCATCTGTCCTGCATTTTCCACTTATGCATCTGAGGCTTTTGTCCTGTGAAGCAGCCACGTCTCTGGAAAAAAAGAAAAAAGAAAACCCATGGCATCTGGTTAAGATTAGGGCCGTTTCCTGCCAAAAGAGGGAGAGTGAGGAAAGAAGAAATGAATACGGCAAATGAAGGCACAGAGAACATGCCATAGATAAATGCTGTCACATCAGTCCTGTTCTCTCCTGGCAGGATAGAAAGGATGCCATCAACAAAGCATGAAGCATACCTGAGCTAGGACTCTGTCTCTGAGCACTGCATGTGCATGGGGATACTGGAGAAGACCGGTGCTGAGCCTTTCCCTTTACCCATTCTAGTTGCCGTGTGTGCAGTGTTGGTGGGACATCTTGAATTGGAATAATTGAAAGCAGATGTTTTGGTACAACTCCCCCAACTTCGCCCATTACTGCTTATCATGAAAATTACCTGCAATTCCTTGTCTATTTTCCACATACAGCCAAATTTGCCAGCCTTGTAGTTCGAAAGAAGCAATTCTTGGGTTGGGCATAGTAGCTCATGCCTTTAATCCCAGCACAGGGTGGAAGGGAGGCAGATCTTTGAATTCAAAACCATCTTGGCCAACATAATGAGCTCAAGGATAGCCAAGACTTACAAAGCAAAAAAATCAAGAAGTGTGTGTGTATGTGTGGTTTCTTTTGGGTTTATGAATTCCTTAGGATTAATACATGTGTGTGTAATTTTCTGTAATTTTAAGAACTTATTTCTAAAGCTCCCGAAAGGTTAAAAGCCGCCTTCCTGGTAACATGTCTGCTGTCATCTCCACACCCACAGGCTGGCTAGACCTGTAAACCTCCTGCCAATGGAAGTCTGCCCTAATTATTTCTTTGACAGGATGTGGGTGTTCAAGTTTCTACTGCTACCCGTGTTGAGCTTTGCTCTCTACCCTGAGGAAATGCTGGATACCCAGTGGGAGCTATGGAAGAAGACCCACAGGAAGCAGTATAACAGCAAGGTGCCTGGTCCTGCAAGGGGAGCATGTAGGAGAGCTGGGACCTGAGGCCTCTGCTTCAATCAAATAGAGGGCTTCACCCCAGCAAGCAGTCCCTATTTCCTAACTCCAGCTGACTTTGGCTTGTGTGCTCAGCCCCTCTATCTGCCGCACAGATATATTAGCTGGAGGGGTGGCTCAGGAATAGCACGAGTCCAGTATTCTGCACCACAGACGTGGCTATGTGGTGTGTATGTGGGAATGCTTCTCATAGTAGTCTTAGTATTCTATTGTCTCTTGAGAACTTTGTGTACATTTTCATGTGTGTACTCGTAAGAGTCCATTGTTCCCTAGCTAGACCAGACTTTCTGGTTATGGTGCATCTTTTCTCCTAAGCCTGCTTAGATAACCGCACACAGTCTATGACCATAGTCTATTGACTATTCTATTTAGGTAGATGAAATCTCTCGGCGTTTAATTTGGGAAAAAAACCTGAAGCATATTTCCATCCATAATCTTGAGGCCTCTCTTGGTGTCCATACATATGAACTGGCCATGAATCACTTGGGAGACATGGTGAGTTGCCCTCAGATCCAGGCCCACCCACTGTCTCCCCACCACCCCCACCACCCCCGTCTCTGCTAATGCTTGACCTCCTCCCTTGTCTCAGACCAGTGAGGAAGTGGTTCGGAAGATGACAGGACTCAGATTACCACCACCCTCTGAGTCCCACAGTAACGACACTCTCTACATCCCAGAGTGGGAGGGCAGAGCCCCCGACGCCATCGACTATCGAAAGAAAGGATATGTTACTCCGGTCAAAAATCAGGTGCTTTCTTGTGTGTGAGTCTGGCCTGCAGTGTGGTATATCTCATGCTACAAGAATATAGCTATTTTGTATGTTTGGGATTTTTCTACTTTAAAGAACTTGGCATGTTACAACAAGCACGTTGCACATATATTTTCCTGCTCAAGTAGAAATATTTGTGCAAAATAAATTCTGAAATTGTAATTACTAGGACATAGAAAATCTTTCCCCAAAAAAGGTTTTTACAGTGTTAGGTTCTTATCTTCAAGAGAATCTCAGTTTTCCTAGGACCTTAACAATACAGGGCTATGTCATCAGTAAGGGGAATAATTGATGTAACACTCATTCAGCAAACACCACCCCTCTCCTAGAGCCAAACAAGTCCAGCTGGTAAAGATTCAAGACTTTCTCCTCAGGAAATTCTCATTCTTAAAGAGTAGGAAATCCTACAATCCAGGAGAGCAAACACTATTAGCTGACGATTTCTGAGATTACTGTGCACAAGGAGTTCCTACGGTTTCCATGTAAATGAAGCCTCTCAGTGCTCACAAGAGTCAATTCATAAGCTGTAGTATCACTCCCTTTTCCTCTTCTTTTGAGACAAGATCTCAAATTGCCCAGGCTGGCCTCCACTTCACTCCGGCTGAGACTGACCTTGAACTCCCGATCCTCTTGCCTCTGCCTCTCAAGGTCACTTAACTAGTGTGAAGTCAGGGTTAGAATCCAGGAGAAGGTCCACAGCCTTAATGGAAGCAGTGATCACAGTTGTTATCAGTAGGAGATGATAACAAGGCCTCACAAGGCGGCAGTGCTTGTGCTTGAATTCTTAGCGTGCACACACACACGCACATGGATGTTTTTAGGCTGCTAGGAAGATGCACCCTGTGTGAGAAGTGATGACTGACAGTTTTTCTGTGTGTCTCTCAGGGTGACTGTGGTTCCTGTTGGGCTTTTAGCTCTGCGGGTGCCCTGGAGGGCCAGCTCAAGAAGAAGACTGGCAAACTCTTAAATCTGAGTCCTCAGAACCTTGTGGATTGTGTGTCTGAGAATTATGGCTGTGGAGGCGGCTATATGACCACTGCCTTCCGCTACGTGCAGACGAATGGGGGCATTGACTCTGAAGATGCTTATCCATACGTGGGGCAGGTGAGACTCCGCCCACCGCAGGGTGGAGCCATGTGCTGACTCTTCCCCCAGCACGACCTTGTTTCCTGTTACTGTACTGCTGCCTTTTCTTTGCTTTTCTTCTCTCCTTTCTTTCTCTCCTTCTTTCCTTCCTTTGTTTCTTCCTCTCCCTCCCCTTTCTCTCTTTTTATCTTTCAATTTTGAGACAATATTTTACTGTGTATCCCAAACTAGTCACAACTAGGTATCCTAGGGTACCCCCTTTTTTGAGACAAGATCTCAGGTAGTCCATGTTGGCCTTGAACTTACTATGTAGCTGAGGATGACCCTGAACTCCTCTTGCCTCGAGCTTTCAAATGCTGGGATCACAGGCCTGGGTCCCACACATGGCTATCCTGCTTTCTTTATTAAGAAATTTTATTAAATGGCCATAGAAAGCCAAAATTTCCATAATGTAGAAAAACTTTGAGCATCTCACCAGTCCCCTGGAGTTTCTAATGTAGATAAGCTGTGATGCAGACCTCTGAGAGAGGAGCAAGTTCCAGTGATACAGATGTTCGCGACTATCTGCTAAAGTATGTGCTCGGCGTATTTCCTTAAAAGACTGGCTTATCCTTGATTTTTAAGGAGCTATTATAACGTGCTCAAATTCATACTGCAGTCTGTAGCAAAAACCAAGATTTTATAAAACGCATTACTGTGTGTATTTGTGTGGACGGTGCATGTCAGTATGTGCAGGTGGGCTTGTGCTTTCTTGTGCATGTGAAGCCCAGAGAAAAACTTCCTGGATTCTCTCCTTCCACCATGGGCCCTGGGCATCAAATTCTAGTTATCAGGCTTATTCGGCAAGAGTTTTACCTACTAAGCCATCTCACCAAACAAGATTTACCCACTAAGCCTGCTTGTCTGGCACTGCCTTTCCTCCCATGTGTTCATGTAAGACTTTTATAATACGCTGTTACCTTGGAACAGAGTCACCTGGGCTTGAAGGTGTCTGTGTCTTAAAATTTACTATATAATGTCCAATTGTTTGCCTGCAGAATATACGAAGTCCCACTGATTCACTGCCACGTCCCTGGCCATCTGTGTTTCTTCTTATAGACTGAGGTTGAGAGCCCAGGGGCATGCCTGTAATCCAGCACCTGGGGTTGGGACATGTTGTAGGAGCTGTGGGCAGCTTCCGCCTCCCAGCTCCCGGCCACCAGCTAACTACCCAAAATAATTACACGGAAACTGTATTCTTTTAAACACTGCTTGGCCCATTAGCTCTAGCCTCTTACTGACTAACTCTCACATCTTGATTAACCCATTTCTAATAATCTATGTAGCACACGAGGTGATGGTTTACCGGAAAGGATCTTAACCTGCGTCCATCTTGGGGAGGAGAGCTATAGCATCTGTCTTACTGCCTTCTTCCAGCATTCTGTTCAGTCTACTCCACCTATCTAAATTCTACCCTATCAGGCCAAGCAGTTTTCTTTATTAACCAATGAAAGCAACAGATAGATAGAAGACACTCCCACATCAGGGACACAAGGGTTAGGAGTTCAAGATCATCCTAAACTACATGGTGAATCTGAATGTAGCCAGCCTGAACTACATGAGCTCCTCTGTGGGGGGGAGGATGGAACAAAACACCAAAACCCAAACCCAAAATAAAATAGTAGAGACTCTTATAGTCTAGTCTGTTGCCTGTTAATGTACTGACGTTATGTAACGTATTTCCCACTCACCAATTAGAGGATAGATTTGAGAAAAGTATAAAGAACTAGGAATTAGTCACTTAACAATCGACAACTTCCATATTTTTAGAAGATTGTTTTCTATTTTCTGTCTATGAGTGAGTGCATGTTCATCATGTGTATGCCTGGTGCCCCAGAGGTCAGAAGGACATTGGACCCCTGGAGCTGGAGTTACAGATGTTGTGAGCCACTCTGTGGGTGCTGGGAGCCACACCTGAGTCCCCTGCAAAAGCAGGTGTCTTAACTGTTGAATGGTCCCTCCAGTCCATGGTTTAGCCAGCACTATACTCATTAAATTGGTGAGAATTTTTTTTTTTTTGGCCTGGAGTTTTGTTTGTTTGCTTTGAGATTGTAGTCCAGACCGGCCTGAGTACACACAGACCCAGTCGCTCTGTCTCCTGAGTGGGTCAAAGTCTGTGCCAAGCCAGGCCCTGATACTTACTAAGTCCATTCACAAGATACTTCATTTCCTTTTTAGATAGGATATTTCATTTGCACAAGGTCCTCTCTCTCTCTTTCTCTCTCTCTCTCTCTCTCTCTCTCTCTCTCTCTCTCTCTCTCTTTGAGATCATGCAACGCCAAGGCTTAGCCTGAATTTGAGATCCTCTGTAGCGTGCTGAGCTCACAGGAATGTTGCCACACAATGGTGTCTTGTTGATCTGAGAAGTTTAACACCAGATTCATGTGTCAGGGAACAAACAGGTTTTGAGAAATTGAGGCAGTAGGTCATGTCACCTTAGACATCAAATGCTGGCAGTAGTGTTGGTGTTAGGTATGTGCTCTTACAGAGCCTACCTTAGTGCACTCAAGGTCTAGTATGTAGGAGAGCTGCCATAAAGAGCACATCACCTTGACAGACCTCGTTTTGTTAGTGAGGCCTGCAAAGCTTGCATGGTTCTGAAAGATCAGAAGATAAGTTACTTAGCTGTTAATTTATTTTCATGTCATGTTATGTACTTATTTCTGTCTCTGATAAAAACATAAGATTTAGCTTAAATTCTTTTGCCCATGCTACATTGTTGAGTTGTGTACAGCGATCAAGGCCATCTCTCCAGCTGGACTTGGTGTTGACAAACTCCCCAAGGAGCAGCTGGTACCTTCCTGCACCCTGAGCCTTACATATACTGTCCAGGCAGAAGATAATTTGCATTTTTTTAAAAAAAACTTTTATTTGAAAAATGTTTCCATATCCTGCATTAGTAAAAACCATCTCTTAGGGTGGGAGAGGTAGGGCATGCTTGTAATCCCAGCACATAGAGACAGAGGCCAGAGAGGGTCAGGAGTTTAGGGTCATCACTATATATGTAGTGAGTTCAAGGCTAGCCTGCTACACAGTCTCAAGAAGAAGAAGATGCTAATGGCAAGGGCTGGAGAGACAGCGCAGTGGCCAGGAGAAACAGTCTCTTCTCTTGTGGAGCTGATTTTTGTGAGAAAGCAGGAAGCCACTTGACTTTTCTTCCTCACGTTTTTGTTTTTTTGTTTTTTGTTTTTCGTTTTTGAGGCAGGATCCTACTGTAGCCCAGGCTGGCTTTGAACTCATGGCAATCCTCCTGCCTCTGCCTCTTGATTGCTGGGTTTACCAGTGTGCATCACCAAACCTGGCTTCTTTTCATAGTTTTCTAAAATGATAAGACCCAAAAGCTGGTCCATTGCCACTCACGTTGGTTTGCTTTCTTACCAGCTTATTGCCAGTCGATTGCTACAGTCCTCTCCACCTTTGATTTTCTTTCCAGGATCAAAGTTGTATGTACAACCCGACAGCAAAGGCAGCTAAATGCAGAGGGTACCGAGAGATTCCTGTGGGGAACGAGAAGGCCCTGAAGAGAGCAGTGGCTCGGGTGGGGCCTATCTCTGTGTCAATTGATGCGAGCTTGACCTCTTTCCAGTTTTATAGCAGAGGTGAGAGAGAGCCTCTTCCTGTGGAGCACCCCCTTCTAGGATGTGGGCGTGGTCCCGGTGCCATCTGCTAACTCTAGTTCTCAGTGTAAACCGTGACTGGGACCACCCAGGGTCTCATCCCCGGTTTGTTTCCTAGGTGTGTACTATGATGAAAATTGCGACCGTGAGAATGTGAACCATGCCGTGTTGGTGGTGGGCTATGGCGTGCAAAAGGGAAACAAGCACTGGATAATTAAAAACAGGTAACAGCATTGCTGTCCCTCTGTCCCCTCTGCAACACTGAGCCTCCCCCCTTCAGGTTCATAACCACAAACCTTACCGTGCGATGGCTGGACAAGAATGTCCAAAGTATACACTGCTCAGCTGCTCCTTGTGCACAGACAACGGGGCAGACCCTGTGTCCGTGCTGGTGCAGCCCATCAGGAAGACTGCTGATGAAGTCGGACAGAGAGCACTTCTTTCCCAGCACTCTCTCCGGCCCACCAGATTCTACTCCAAATGTCCCCACCCAGAGTAAAGCTAAGCAACTAGATGACAGTAAAGGCTGCTCAGCCTAATGTGTTTGGTTGGCCGATGGATTTTCATTTTTTGAGACAGGGTCTCCTATGGCTCAGGTTAGCTTTGAGCTCAGTATGGCCCCGAACTCTTCAACGTTATCTTAATTCACCCCCTCAGGTCTGTCTCCTACTTGAATTTGCTTTATACCCTGGTTTTAGCCACATTGTCATAACACATCTCCCTTTCCCATCTGTCCTCAGTTTTACATCCTTTACCTCCTCCCATTCCCTCAGACGCCAAGTCTGTTCATCCTTCAGGTTCTGCCTTAAATACCACCTCTTGCTCATCTCTCCTCCTCCTCTGGAGACAGGCTTCCTGAACTTGCTGTGTAGACCACGCTAGGACAGAACTCACTGAGATCCTCCTGCCTCTGCCTCCCGGGTGCTGGGATTAAAGCCATGCGCCACCACACTCAGCCATCTCAATTATCTGGAAGACCTTGGTTTAGTTTCTTTGGTTGCTATGGTAGAGGATTCTGACTAAGTCAGTCAAGGAAGACAAGGCTTACCTCTCGGTCTCAGGGCACTGGAGTTGTGGCAGCAGCGTCTCGGCAGCAGGAGCTGAGGCTGCTGTCACATCCCAGCCACAGTCAGGAACAGAGAGCTGAGTCTGATGATTGCATGCTAGTGCTGGGCTACTCCAGGGTCTGTCCCGGGAATAGTTCTCCCACAGCAGTTAACATAATGGAGATAACGCCCTTAAAAATAAAACCCAGCCAGTGCTGGTGGCTCACGCCTTAATCCCAGCACTTGGGAGGCAGAAACAGGCCGATCTCTGTGAGTTCGAGATCAGCCTGGTCTACACAGTGAGTTCCAGGACAGCCAGGGCTACACAGAGAAACTCTATCTCAAAACAAACAAACAAACAACAAAAAAAAAACCACATTGGCATTCTAGCTGGGCAGTGGTGGCGCAAGCCTTTAATCTCAGCACTCAGGAGGCAGAAGCAGGCAGATCTCTGAGTTTGAGGCCAGCCTGGTTTATAAGAGCTAGGTCCAGGACAGGCTCCAAAGCTACATAGAAACCCTGTCTCAAAAAACTAAAAAAAAAAAACAAAACCCAACTTGCTCATTTTTTGTATATTATCAGTGCCTAGTAAAATATAGTGAGTGTTTTAAGGACTATATAGATAAGATGCTAAGTATTTTTCTCGATTGGTTCTACAGCTGGGGAGAAAGCTGGGGAAACAAAGGATATATTCTCTTGGCTCGGAATAAAAACAATGCCTGTGGCATTACCAACCTGGCCAGTTTCCCCAAGATGTGATCCAGCCAGCCTAGACGTCCTGTTCTCCTGTTCCTTCTTCCATGGTGCCATGTGGTGGTGTATTTGGAAAGGAGTTGAGAAAGGGCTGCTGAAGTGGGCGTGCTCCTGGTGACACCTCTGTAACTGTCCCTCTCTCCACCCACTTCTCTGAGGCGAAGATCTGGTCCCGACTCACTGGGTTCTGCTGTCTGGGGGCTGATACTGTGTAGATAAACAGTGGAGGTCTCCAGCAGGCTGGAGTGACCTCCCCAAGTCCCTGTCTCCAGTGCCGAGATTCACAAACCTGTTCATAATTCTCTGACATATTTGCATGATATAAGAAATGTATGTTCTTTCCCTTCTTTGCATTTGAAATAAAGTATCTCATTTACAATTTAATAAATGACATTGTATCCACACTCACATCGGATATGGTACGAGGCAGCATTTATTAAGTACTTACTGTATCATGAAAACTATACATTTCTGGGATTAAGTGCACCCAAGAAGATATCTCAGTATTTAAAACCGCCATGAAGCTGGACACGGTGATGTGTTCCCGAGGTCCCAGCACTTGAGAGGCAGAGGCAGGAGGATCACAGCAGTGACGTGCGTACCTAAGCCTTCAAAGATCAGGTTTCCTTACATTGTTTTAATTTAATTTTATTTTTGAGATAGAGCCTCAACTAGATAAGGCTGTCCTCAAACTCACTATGAACCTGAGATAGACCACGAACTAAACTCCTGGTCAGAGTTTTGTTTTCTTTTTAAGAAAAACAAACCAGTCTCATGTAGCGTATGCTGGCCTGAGATTCAAGATCCTCCTGTCCCTGCCTCCCAGAGACGGCGTTATGGTCTTGTGCAGCGCTTTAGTAACAGATTTTAGGATGTGTCGCTGCTAGACCGGTGGTTCTCAACCTCCCTAGTACTGCAGCCCTTTAATACAGTTCCTCATGTTGTGGTGTGACCCCAACCATAAGATTATTTTCATTGCTACTTCATAACTGTAATCTTGCTACTGTTGTGAATTGTAATGTAAGCATCTGTGTTTTCCAATGGTCTTAGACCACCCGTGGAAGGGTATTTCAACTTCAAAGGGGTTGGGACCCACAGGTTGAGAACCGCTGTGCTAGAGGAGTAAATTAGCACAACCTGTTTTTCCATTTTTCACAAAGTACTATTATCCCATGTTCACAGCTACTGAACATCCATTGTCATGCACTCTTGTTTAAAATATTTTTAAATTTAGTCAGTCGGTGGTGGTGCATGCTTTTAATTCCAGCACTCAGGAGGTAGAGTTCAAGGCCAGCCGGGTCTACAGATAGAGTCCAGGATAGACAGGGCTACACAGAGAACTCTGTCTTGAAAAGAAAAGAAACAAAAATTAAATATTATACATTTGAATTATTTGTTTTATATATATGGTGTTTTATCTACATGTATGTCTGTGTGCCATGTGCATGTCTGGTGCCCACACGGGTCAGAAGAGGGCGTCAGATCTTCTGGGACTGGAGTGTGGATGCTGAGAGTCAAACTTATGTCCTTTGGAAGAACAATTAGTGCTCTCAACCCCTGAATCCTATCCCATGTCATAACTCTTATTTCATTTTTGGTAAACCCCTCCTCTACTCTTTTGGCCTATAGGACATGCCAGGTCCTTTTGGAGTAGCATATGCCTTTAATCTGTGGACCTGTGTGAGTTTGAGCCCAGCCCCTTCTATATATTGAGTCCCAAGACAGCCAGGCTACATAGTGAGATCCTATCTTAAACCTATCCACCCAAAAATATGTGGACATGTAGAAAGCTATATTTAAGCCTAGAAGGATGGAAAAAATTAGTTCTGACTTTGAGAATGTCATAGACGTGTGCTCATGCCATGTCCTGCAGTTGTAACTCTTTGAAAGGCAAAGCAAGAGAATTACTTACGCCCAGGGGTTCCAAGCCTGACTATGTACCATAGCAAGTCTGTCTCAAAAAACACACAGGTGGTGTCTGTGAGTTCAAGTCTGGCCTGAGTTATGTAGTAAGTTCCAGGACAGCCAGGTCAGTGTAGAGAGAGGCAATCTTAAGAACAAGAAAGGAAGTTTGAAAACAGGAAGACAGTAGAACATTAATAACTACAGATGGTATAATAAATACAACCAGGAATGGTGAGAATGAGGTATTGCTCATACCACCAGAAGTAAGTCATCAAACGTATTGGATTCTAGATGGAGGCTTTAATGGGCACAAAGAATGTGTGGCGGGGTGAAAGATCACATGAAGCTGCAGGTTCTGCGGGAACTACTGAGGCTGGCGCGACTCACATGCAAGTATGTGTGAAGCTAGGCTGAGAGTAGAAGGGACTCCTGCCAGCCTCAGTGTTCAGGGTCTACCCCGGCTGAGAGTAGAAGGGACTCCTGCCAGCCTCAGTGTTCAGGGTCTACCCAGGCTGAGAGTAGAAGGGACTCCTGCCAGCCTCAGTGTTCAGGGTCTACCCAGGCTGAGAGTAGAAGGGACTCCAGCCAGCCTCAGTGTTCAGAGTCTACCCAGGCTGAGAGTAGAAGAAAGGACTCCTGCCAGCCTCAGTGTTCAGGGTCTACCCCGGCTGAGAGTAGAAGGGACTCCTGCCAGCCTCAGTGTTCAGGGTCTACCCCGGCTGAGAGTAGAAGGGACTCCTGCCAGCCTCAGTGTTCAGGGTCTACCCAGGCTGAGAGTAGAAGGGACTCCTGCCAGCCTCAGTGTTCAGGGTCTACCCCGGCTGAGAGTAGAAGGGACTCCTGCCAGCCTCAGTGTTCAGGGTCTACCCCGGCTGAGAGTAGAAGGGACTCCTGCCAGCCTCAGTGTTCAGGGTCTACCCAGGCTGAGAGTAGAAGGGACTCCTGCCAGCCTCAGTGTTCAGGGTCTACCCAGGCTGAGAGTAGAAGGGACTCCTGCCAGCCTCAGTGTTCAGGGTCTACCCCGGCTGAGAGTAGAAGGGACTCCTGCCAGCCTCAGTGTTCAGGGTCTACCCGGGCTGAGAGTAGAAGAAAGGACTCCTGCCAGCCTCAGTGTTCAGGGTCTACCCAGGCTGAGAGTAGAAGGGACTCCTGCCAGCCTCAGTGTTCAGGGTCTACCCCGGCTGAGAGTAGAAGGGACTCCTGCCAGCCTCAGTGTTCAGGGTCTACCCAGGCTGAGAGTAGAAGGGACTCCTGCCAGCCTCAGTGTTCAGAGTCTACCCAGGCTGAGAGTAGAAGAGACTCCAGCCAGCCTCAGTGTTCAGGGTCTACCCCGGCTGAGAGTAGAAGAAAGGACTCCTGCCAGCCTCAGTGTTCAGGGTCTACCCGGGCTGAGAGTAGAAGAAAGGACTCCTGCCAGCCTCAGTGTTCAGGGTCTACCCAGGCTGAGAGTAGAAGGGACTCCTGCCAGCCTCAGTGTTCAGGGTCTACCCAGGCTGAGAGTAGAAGGGACTCCTGCCAGCCTCAGTGTTCAGGGTCTACCCAGGCTGAGAGTAGAAGGGACTCCTGCCAGCCTCAGTGTTCAGGGTCTACCCAGGCTGAGAGTAGAAGGGACTCCTGCCAGCCTCAGTGTTCAGGGTCTACCCCGGCTGAGAGTAGAAGAAAGGACTCCTGCCAGCCTCAGTGTTCAGGGTCTACCCAGGCTGAGAGTAGAAGGGACTCCTGCCAGCCTCAGTGTTCAGGGTCTACCCCGGCTGAGAGTAGAAGAAAGGACTCCTGCCAGCCTCAGTGTTCAGGGTCTACCCGGGCTGAGAGTAGAAGAAAGGACTCCTGCCAGCCTCAGTGTTCAGGGTCTACCCAGGCTGAGAGTAGAAGAAAGGACTCCTGCCAGCCTCAGTGTTCAGGGTCTACCCAGGCTGAGAGTAGAAGGGACTCCAGTGAGCCTCAGTGTTCAGGGTCTACCCAGGCTGAGAGTAGAAGGGACTCCAGTGAGCCTCAGTGTTCATGGTCTACCCAGGCTGAGAGTAGAAGGGACTCCAGTGAGCCTCAGTGTTCAGGGTCTACCCAGGCTGAGAGTAGAAGGGACTCCAGTGAGCCTCAGTGTTCAGGGTCTACCCGGGCTGAGAGTAGAAGGGACTCCTGCCAGCCTCAGTGTTCAGGGTCTACCCAGGCTGAGAGTAGAAGGGACTCCTGCCAGCCTCAGTGTTCAGGGTCTACCCAGGCTGAGAGTAGAAGGGACTCCAGTGAGCCTCAGTGTTCAGGGTCTACCCAGGCTGAGAGTAGAAGAAAGGACTCCTGCCAGCCTCAGTGTTCAGGGTCTACCCCAGCTGAGAGTAGAAGGGACTCCTGCCAGCCTCAGTGTTCAGGGTCTACCCCGGCTGAGAGTAGAAGGGACTCCTGCCAGCCTCAGTGTTCAGGGTCTACCCAGGCTGAGAGTAGAAGGGACTCCAGTGAGCCTCAGTGTTCAGGGTCTACCCTGGCTGAGAGTAGAAGGGACTCCTGCCAGCCTCAGTGTTCAGGGTCTACCCCGGCTGAGAGTAGAAGGGACTCCTGCCAGCCTCAGTGTTCAGGGTCTACCCAGGCTGAGAGTAGAAGGGACTCCTGCCAGCCTCAGTGTTCAGGGTCTACCCCGGCTGAGAGTAGAAGGGACTCCTGCCAGCCTCAGTGTTCAGGGTCTACCCCGGCTGAGAGTAGAAGGGACTCCTGCCAGCCTCAGTGTTCAGGGTCTACCCAGGCTGAGAGTAGAAGGGACTCCTGCCAGCCTCAGTGTTCAGGGTCTACCCCGGCTGAGAGTAGAAGGGACTCCTGCCAGCCTCAGTGTTCAGGGTCTACCCCGGCTGAGAGTAGAAGGGACTCCTGCCAGCCTCAGTGTTCAGGGTCTACCCGGGCTGAGAGTAGAAGAAAGGACTCCTGCCAGCCTCAGTGTTCAGGGTCTACCCAGGCTGAGAGTAGAAGGGACTCCTGCCAGCCTCAGTGTTCAGGGTCTACCCCGGCTGAGAGTAGAAGGGACTCCTGCCAGCCTCAGTGTTCAGGGTCTACCCAGGCTGAGAGTAGAAGGGACTCCTGCCAGCCTCAGTGTTCAGAGTCTACCCAGGCTGAGAGTAGAAGAGACTCCAGCCAGCCTCAGTGTTCAGGGTCTACCCCGGCTGAGAGTAGAAGAAAGGACTCCTGCCAGCCTCAGTGTTCAGGGTCTACCCGGGCTGAGAGTAGAAGAAAGGACTCCTGCCAGCCTCAGTGTTCAGGGTCTACCCAGGCTGAGAGTAGAAGGGACTCCTGCCAGCCTCAGTGTTCAGGGTCTACCCAGGCTGAGAGTAGAAGGGACTCCTGCCAGCCTCAGTGTTCAGGGTCTACCCAGGCTGAGAGTAGAAGGGACTCCTGCCAGCCTCAGTGTTCAGGGTCTACCCAGGCTGAGAGTAGAAGGGACTCCTGCCAGCCTCAGTGTTCAGGGTCTACCCCGGCTGAGAGTAGAAGAAAGGACTCCTGCCAGCCTCAGTG